AGTACTGATTGATGTGAAAATTATTGATTTTTCATCAGCTATGGACTGAGCAGAATTAATGTGATCACTGTTATTCTCTGTTCACAGATATGGTTTTTGCATTATTCTCCAAAATAGTCAGTAATCCAGAAGTGGTATTTTAGCTGTATATGGAAATGTGTGATATTGTGTTTTATTCTGATGAAATTTGATTGCATTCATACTCAACTGTTACAGTAAAGAAGTTAATCCTTTTATTAAAGTGTGATAAAGCATTTCCTGAACATAGTAAGCAATGGCATGGTCAAACAAATATTCTAACCAGCATTTAGTTGTCCCAAGGTAATTTGTTGTATTTCCCCAGTTTGTTGACTTTATGGTTCGGGCTAATTGACTTTGGCATCTCATTTTCTCCTAAAATACTGGAAAAATTCTGATCCACTTTTAGAGCGCATTTGGTTCTGTGAATACATGTTCTGTAAGTGCTTGGGGGTGTTTGAATGGAAAGATAGTAATATGGTTGGTACTGATTACTAAAAGCATCAGGAAAATGAACTGTAAAAATAGCTTTCAATTTTGCATTTCTTATGTTGTTTAATTAAGTAGATATAGAGTATCAGTTTCTCAGATGTATGGATTTTATTTTACATCCCCATTATAGTGTGCTGTATTTCATATACACACATAGCTTTGTAAGCAAAGAAAGAATCCTCTTCAATTATTAAAACTGTATGCATAGTAGCATACACAGTTGCTGCAACTACTATCTAGTATTTGACGTACAGAACATAATTATGGTTTGAGGAGAAAATAACATCAACTTTTCTGAAGTTTTTCCTTAAATTTAAACCATGCCAGTTCTTACAGACTTTCCCTTTGACTCCCTTCAGACAGTGCAAGTGGAACACAAAGATAATAATTCCTTTCATCTTAGTTCACATGTTTTAACTGCTGCATAACAAGTGCTTTCATGAATCAAGTAGAAAATCAGATGTTTCTGGATAGTTATTTCTTCATTTTAGCACCATTAATGTGGAAGTCATTACTGGTCTTATTTGATTAGAATTTCTTGAATTGTGCCTTGTGATCACCAGTACCATTTAACGTTGAGAATTCTTATTTTCATCATCTTTTACCCTGCCCTTTGGTGATCCTCCTTGAGGAAAGGAGTCACTTAAATGGCTTCCCCATCGAAAGACACAATGACTGCTTTATGTTTCCTTCTACAGCAGTTTTGTAACTGCAAGCTTATGAGGCATCAGAGCAGAGTTTTCCTCTCGTGCTGTGTAACCTTGAACAGCCTTGCTTTTGAGCAACTTTCCCTCATCTCACTTGCTTCCTGAGCACCATTGTTATCAATTCTTTTCAGCCATCCCAAACTGGAGAGTTGGTTCGTGTGTCACTTTGGCTGCTGCACATAAGGGTGTAAATGAGTACAGAGCATAGCAGTGTAACAGCTTTTTTTTTAAAAAATATGATTAATTAGGGGTTTCATTAAAATTTTAACTCATAAAACGCTTAATGCTTGTTTTCAATTAAATGTATGTATTTATTTAACTATATTTCTATATGCAATTTATATAAACGTGTGTAGTGAAGATGGTGATTGGGAAGACAGTATCTCTACATCATAAAGCCTTTATGGGGTCATCACTTGCTTGCAAATTCCATATTTCTGGTGCAGCAGAACCGTGACAAGTCTGAACTCTTGTTAGTGGGTAGTAGCAACATAGGCACAACTTAAAAAACAATTGGATTCTGCAGTAAGCAAATATTTAATACTTTAGTGTGTGTTTTAAGGGAGATTGTAATATGGTCCAAATTTGGTACATGTTCTAAAAACAATAGGTAAAAAGACCTTAAAAGAATTATGTATGGTTCCTACATACTAGTAGGATCTAATTCACTGTGGCAGTTGAGAATGCAGAGGTGGGTTTGGCAGCATATCTAGTGACATTCCATCAGTGCTTAAACTAACTGCAATATATAGACAAGAGTTTTATATTTGAGATGCATGACATTTACCACAGCTTTCAGTTGTCATTGCAATGCAGTGTTAATTCAGGAATGTTAATTCAAACATTCTTAAACTATCACATGCTGTGTGTGCTTACATGCATAAGTCTAATTTTTTATTTCCTTCCCACTACAGAATTTTACGAATGAAGACTAGTAAAAAAAATTATACTTGAAAACTTAGCATTATGATACTTCATCAAAAATAATTTGCAACGTTCTCTTTGCCTTTCTCTTTGAATAGACTGGTGTGTGGACTGCACTTGCCAAGATTGAGAAAAATTTTTTAAAACCACTGCATGTTGGACTGAATATGTCTAAAGCACACTATGAGGCAGAAATAAAGAATAAGAAAGAAAACAGAAAAGGTTGGATTTTTTCTTCTTAGCGTTGTTCATGTTCAGAAACCTTGGAAATAAGGAATTGGTGAATGCTCTATAGATACATATTTTTATTTAAGTATTGATTTTATTCCAGGTTTCACAGAATATTTCAGCAGTTGCTACATTTGATATTAATACTTTTCATAACTAGGAAAATCTGAGCTTGTTTATCTCTCATCGCATTTGTAAACCTTACAGAGAGCCGACAGGAATGTCACATGAAGACGTTCAAACCTTGTTCTACATTTATACTTTGATTTTAAGGATAGACAGGAATATCTAAGTCTCTCTGTGAATATATAGTCCTTAGGTTTCATACTACGTGTGGGCAGGCTATCAAGAGAAGAAATAATTCACACAGCAAATAGGTAGTGTCTTAAAGCCCAAAGGATTAGGTTCTGGATTTTTTTAATCTGATACTTTAGAATCAAACTCTGCTCAGGGTTAAGCAGATATATTCCAAAGGGAGTGAAAGCTATAGCTGCTGTAGGCCAACTCTATATGTCAGATCTTCTGTCCCTTTGTGGTCTCTAGTATAATTAAGATGGCCCAAGGAAATTACTTCTGCTGCCAGAAATGTCAGTACAGCTTTTGCTCCTACTCCCATCCTCCAGTGTTGTTACAAACTACGTCAGTACAAGGCAGGGGGAAGGGATTTTTTCTGAAGATAACCTGTGGATATCTTTCCAAAGGGAGTCCATTTAAAGAAAAAGCTTCCTGGTTCATTTTAGTTTCGTACATGTCTCGGCCTTTGACAAAGCATAGAGATCTGAGTTCAAGAGAAAACACCTACCTCATTAAAATGAATGGTTTAGTCTTTCTCCCCAGTGTATAATCTTTGTAAGCATTACATTACTTTTCAAGTACATAGTCTGAATGTTGAAATTTTCCCCTCAGTTTCAAGATTTGTCCTTGCAGTTCTGTCTGCTGTAAGTAGTCTGTCAGGAACAGAGAAACCTGCAGCCATTTTCTGGATGAAGTTAAGTCTGTCGTCGTAGAAATCTCTGGATGTGAAAGTATTAAAATCGTGTCTAAAAAACCAACCAGATTATGTATTTCCTTTTAAGGAGAATTTTAGCAATATAAAATTGTTTTAAGTTTACAGATATTGCCTGTTTGCTAATGTCGTCATAAATCATATAGAAACAGCAGAGATAGATCCTCAAAGTTCAATACCTTTGCTTTTTGGTATTTGTTCAGCTTTTATGCTTCTGATTTAACAATTACTGTCCATAAATACTTACTTACTAAAAGTTGTTTTGATTCTAAAAATAGGGTGGAATGGCAGCCTGATGTCTGGTTCTTTTCTTCTACAGAGGCACACAGTTCTAACACAATTTGTTCTTTGACTGTCAGTGGGGAAAAGATGCCTGCCATGACTACTGAAATGCAACTTCAGGTGAGTTTGCAATTCCAGAAGTATTTAAATTTTCTTTTTAATCTGGAGCCAAATGTATACATATAGTCAATAAAGAAATCCATTTTTCTAAAAAAAATAACAGTATTTCTTTTGTCATTTCAGGTTTTACAGTCAGCTCTCTTCACATTTGATTTAATAGAAAGTGTTCTAGCTCGAGTAGAAGAGCTCATTGAAGTGAAAGTAAAAGCTGTAATGGATGAAAATATATAGGTCATCTGAAATATCTGAGTTAACATACTTTTTGCAAGATCATTTTGATCATTAGACTTGAGTTAAAAAGAGGGTTATACCAACCTTTAGAGAATAGCTTAGAGTGGCCTCTGGAAAAATTGCAAGTCCTGCTCTTCATTTGCCTGTTGCTGGTTTTATTTTGTTTTTGTTTTTTTAAGCAAAAACAAACTTCTTTTGCCATTTTTGTCTGTGATCACAGAGATGGACTGAAAAGTGTTCACCTTCAGAACTTGATGTTTTTTCTGAAGTATAGAATGTAAATCTACAGGACGTTTTTGTGTTGTGCTGTGGTAAGAATGTATGATTGTGCATTTCTTGTTCTATTCATTTTCGAAGTATTTTAGGTAACTTGCTGTCTTATGATCTGAATTATAAAGATTTTTATAAAGTAACCTGGAGAGCTGTGAATTAAAAAGCACTGCGAAAGGAGTAGTTATTTTTATTAGTACTTTTTAATATTGACAAACAAGCTTCTATATTTACAAGCAGGTCTATAAGCTATAGATAACAGATAAAGGCAAACCAAAGCAGGTTTAAAGAAAAACACAGCAGCCTTGAACCGAGCAAGATATTAAAACTCAGTAAAAGAACAGATAAAACTTGTGTTTAAAAATGCACTGTGTGAGGCTGGATGCACAGCTGTTTTAACATGGCAAACCTGTATTTTGAAATTGTTTTGGTCATCGTTATCTCTAACGATAAAGTTTTCCTTAAGATTTATTACATAATTTGAGAAATTATTATAAACAGATGAATGCACACATTCAGAATCAAACCAAATAACAGGATAACACCTCTTTAGTGCAGTTAAACTACATTTTTATTTTGTTAGAAGGCATATATATATGTATAATGTATAGTATTTTTCACCGTAGAGTCATTTAATATAAATTTGTTTCAAATGTGTAAATTGTGTATATAGTTTTTTAAAATGTAACAGGATATTTAAGAACTTTCTATATATTGTTTAAAGTATAGCTGCTATAATTACTTTATGAATAAAACTTCTCAGTCAGTTATTACTATGCAACTTGTGGTACTCCTGAAGCACCTTCCAGACTGGACTGTTTTCTATTATGTGGGTTTTTGTCATTGCCATTTTCTGAGAAACATCATCTGCGCGTGGCTTGGAATTCATCTTAGAGGAAAGAAAAATATTATGAGTGAATATTACGAGAAATATTCACTTCCTGAAAAATGAATACTCAATCTATCTGAATATGTAAGACCAGTCCTAACATGACTACTCCTATCAGCTTTGCATCTGCTTATTATCTCGGTAGTATTTCTACAGGAGTTGCTGTGGTAGCTTTGGACTAGATGGATGGTATTGGTCCCTTGCCCGTGTTCCTTATCCTAGGTCAAAATAAGTTTATTTTCTAGGAGATATAATTGGGGACTCTCTTACAAGAGCTCATTGGATTGACTCTGTACTGTATCAGTAATAACATAAAGGCAACTGAGATATCTGTGGTCTGTAATGTAATGACTTCTTATGGGGCTGATTGTTAAAATCCAGTGTATTCATTCTGAACAGATTCAATTTTAAAGGATCAACAGTAATCTCAAAAGGTTTTAGGTTAATGCTGCATTAAGAAACTGGGCCAGACAGCAGCAGAATACAAAGTTAGAAAAATACAATGTTCAATGTTGTAATAAGCATTCATCAACTCTTACCATACAATAGATGAGATGTAGTTTCTAACATGCTTTCTAACCTGCTGCTTTTATTTTTGGTGGGATGGTCCTAGCATTGTTGTAGATAGTATCTAAGTTAGAACTCTCATGGAAAATGTTATTTAAAGCAGTTCAGGCTTCAGTGAGGATGTTTATACATACAAGGTATGTTGCTGTTACATAGGTTAAATCATACTCATTACGCTGTAGAAATAATGTATTACTATGTGCATCACTTAAAAATCTGCAGATAGCTAGTGTTTTCAGATCACCACTTTACTTTAGAAGCAGTTAGATATTTAGATCTTTTTCATCTCGTGTTGCTTCAGTGCTAGTAAGTGAAATGAAGATATTTGTATTTCATAGAACAGCTTTGTTTGGAAGGGTCCTTAAAGATCATCTAGATCCATCTATTGGGCAGGGTTGCCACCCATTAGATCAAGTTGCTGTGGTCCCCATCCACACTGTCCGTGAACCCCTCCAGAGAGGGAACATCCACAGCTTCTTTGGGTTAAGCATGGTGACATCCTAAATTAACAGAGATAAGTAAGAGCTGAATTAACTTTTAAGTGTTTCATTTGTCTTCATGCATTCTGTTGATTTAAAGTTACCTTTAACAATAGTTTAAACATTTGAGCAGCAGTTCCACCTCAAGGTGAAACACGGATTGTGTAATATGACTTCATACATGGGCAGATAGTGATAGGATAAGGGGGAATGGTTTTCAATTGAAAGAGGGGGGATTTAGGTTAGATATTCGAAGGAAACTCTTACCATACAACTCTTACCATGCAGTAGATGAGATGTAGTTTCTAACATGCTTTGTAACCTAACTACATCTCTGGAGGTGTTCAAGGCTAGGTTGGATGGAGCCCTGGGCAGCCTGATGCAATGGGTAACAACCCTCCCCAGAGCAGGGTGTTGGAACTAGGTCATCTTGAAGTCTCTCTTCCAACCCAAATGATTCTATGACTGTAATCAATACGATGCAGAAAGATCCATTAAGGAAAAACAAATGTTTTCCAAGTTAAAATACCTCTGAAGTTCTGAGGAGTAAATCATTTTAATCATATTTAACTAGGCTTACCTTAGCTATAGTTAGCATCAACTTAACAGTTTCAGCAGTATTATGAACTGGTATTATACGTAAATTGCTTCCCAGGAATCTACACATCAAAATAAATTAAGGTTACTTTCAGAGTGCACATTTAATTATGCCATGAAACTCAAAAAACATTCTCACATAATGTAAACAACTTCTTTGTCTGCACCGCAAGTTGCTTTCATCTTCAGCTGAACAAGACTGCTTTTATCTTTGAAGGCAAGAGGCGAATTCTGGCTGTTTTTATACCTATCTATCCCATCTCTACAGCATTTGTTCAGGTGGGATTTTTGAAGAGCTTTTTTTGTTTCTAGGACTCCTTGACAGTCAGTCATAATTTCTTAAGTGTGCTTATGTTCAGGGAGAACAAAACACTCTTTTGTTGTGTTGTTGAAGACTGTTCTCAAAATGGCAGTAAAAAGTGTTTATTTTTTCCATGAGAAACAAAACACAGGAAAGGATCTAAAAATACTGTGCTAAAAATACCTCCGAATTTGAAATACATCTTAGCATGCTGTCTAAATATAACCATCTGTAGGGTTAGATAATGGGATAATTCTAACAATTTCATTAGGATGTCCAAGTCTACATAATTTAATCAGAGAATTAAAAAAAGAAAACAAGCAAATCCAACATATGACCTATGGTTTGAGAATGTAGCACATGTTCCAATCACACCAGAGCAAAAGCTCAGTCACTGATTTACCTACAATGCCAGAACTCCTAGCTGCCAGCTAGTAATAAAGCACATGTGTCTAAGGTATAATTGTGCCCTGCCGTAATCAAGTTGGTGTGGCCTGCAGTGATAAAACTGATATTTTTATTTAAATAAAATTACTGAGTTGCTGAAGGGAGCATGTTTTCAAAACATCACATTTATTAGTGATCAATGCACATGCAAGATCAGTTGAAATATAGATTGAACATTAGCATTACCATCAGCTGAGAAATATGTTCTTGCTGAGTGATGGCAGAGCTTTTAAGAACTCTCATAAAAATTTATGGAATTTTTGCAAATGGATAATAGATTTCCTACATTTCATCCCGTACACTCAGCTATTCATCAGCATTTGGCAACGTGCCCTGGGTGTAACAAAACTGGTGTTAGAATCAAGGAGGTAAAGATCAGAGACTCCATTAGAAGAGTCACTTTGATGTCGGGAGTGAAAATCAGCTGCAGCAAAGATTACTGTACCTACCAGAAAATGGCTTTGAATGGAAGTATAGAAAAGAGTCTGATATCCATTATGAGCAGATATATACTGAAAAGTGGAATGTTTCAGGCTTTGTTTGCATTGTTTTAGCTCAGTATGACAGACTATTCCAAGTGAAGAGATTTTAAAACCTGGTGAAGAATCTATCGTTTACACCAAAGTCTTTTCATATGAATGAGACGTACTTGTTCTGTTTTGAATTTACCATGAAAACATGCTGCCAGAACTAGGACAAAAAAGTGAAAGAAAACAGCCTCGTTTTCCAGTGTGAGAGAAAAACCTGAAAAAGATTATAAAGGCCTAAAGTGATGGGAGGGAAGGTTTTTCATTTTGGGGCTTTTCTTGGGGGGGGGGGTGTATGGGGGGAAGGAGGGGAACATGTCCTTTTGTTAACTATCACAGATCAATTCACTTAACATTCTTTTCATTTTCCACTAATTAAACATATTCCTTGGCTAATTTTGCAGTGCATGAGCAAAATAAAATTCAACTGAATCCAACACAGCTGAGTAGACAGTTAAACTTTGTTTTTCCCTAGCAATAGAAGGTTTGATGTTGAAATAATACCTTCTCTGAATCCTAAACATTACATTCCATTCTTGTGGTCCATGGAGAGCAGCTGACAAAACCAGAAAACTATTCCGATGTATGTTTATAAACTTCTGAATTCTTTCTAAAAACTGTTCTTCCCCTCTCACAAACAAGTCTTGAATGTCTACCAGTATAAATGCAACACCTGTTGAAGAAATTGATATGGATTTGTGTCAGCAATGTGATTAATCCTTCTCTCTACAAATACCCTAATCAGGAAGCAATTCTTACTCAAGCATTAATTTAAAAGAGTAGTACAGAAAAAAATTGTGAATGAATTAGATCATCTTGATGGTTTAATGCAATCATGACATTTGGCCAGTAATTACTAGTAATTTTAGGATAAAACTACAAATAACTCAGATGTTATTTTCTACCATAACATTAAAAAAAAAGTGTTCAATTCACTTAAATTATAGACATCTGAATGCCTTTGCAAGCACATGTTTCAGGAACAAGAATCTGCTGTATGGAATGAACTTAAAACAAATGCAGACTGATTGAAGACTTCAGCAATTCTGATTTAGAAATAAGATAAGCAAATACACCTGCAGCATCTTCAAATTGAACTAGAATGTCTACCATGAGAAATTAAATTATGGTCCCATCAACAAAGTTAAGTTCAAAGTTAAGGCATAAGTGTAGGAGGTTTTAACAGCAGAGGACACAAAAGGCTGGGCCAATCGGTGCCTTGTTAGTCCTTACAGTTCAGGAAAGCTTCAGATTAAGAATCTCATCTGATTGTCTGTCTAAAGCACCCTCTGCTCTGGAAAGAATGGGTAGATGTTTCATGTTTGAAGTTTCAGTAATTTCCTAATCAAAACAGCTCCAGGAATCCTTTTCTCATCTTCCTTTTTGCCACCGGCTCTGCAAATTCAGCTTGGGCAATTAAAGCCAAAGCTCTCTTATATTTACAGCCACAAATACTAAGTATCTTGATGGCCACTTTATGTTTAAGTGGCATTCAACATGCTCATTTATAAGAAGAATTTACTGATTGTCACCAAATACAGTGTAGAGACCAATGGCAGCATTTAATTCATGAAATTCTCTGTTGCAGCCCCTGACTTATGTGCAATCACTTCTCCTTCCACTACTGTATGACACTCCAACACAGCAGCTTTTATTCAGTTCAGCACAGCTCATGACAGAGCCTGATCTTGTGCCTCATTAGAGTTTAGGAATTTAAAAACAAAGTACTGTACCAGAAAGAGAAAAAATCACGGAGCCAATTTCCACTGATTCTGAATATCGAACTCGGTGTTGCCTCTGTAGAACTGTGGAGATTTCGTGGTTCTAAATAAATTACAACAGGTTACTGTCAGCCAACAAATCAGATGAAATATCCTCTAAACATTGAATAGTTATTGGAGAACTTTAGCATCGTTGCTTAAGAATTTTTTTTTTATATCTTACTTTTAAAAAAGGAAATAAAATGTTAATTCAAAGTTAAATGTTAATTCAAAAACTTAATTATATTTTAGAATGTCTGTATTGAAAGATATCAAATCATTGAACTGTAATTTGTATGCACACGTTCAGTATGCCACAGGAAACCATTCCACAAAACATAAAAAAAGCTCAAACATTTTACAGTCTATTTTTGTAATAAATGCTAAAATACAATTTGCAGTAGTGAGGAATGTACAATAGTGCACTTCTAAGGCTCCAGCTAATTAGACTACATTATTCTCAATGATGTCTGCATTTCATTTGGAAGATATTTCAGGAGATTTGTATAGGAAGTGATTTTCATTAAAGGTTTTTGACAACACAATCCAGTCAGGAAAACTGGAACATCGCACTATGCAATGTAATCATTTGAGGAATTGAAGGAATTTGCATGTATTTTTCAGCCTGCAAAAAGCACTTCTGCAGTATGCTCTGCAAAAGCTGCTCAAACCCACGCATTTTAAAGATTGAACCACCAACTCCTTTTTAGCTAATAAAATGTTTTTTAGATGACCCATTTAAAATGTAGGCAACCTGCCATAAAGAGAGTTTTAATGAGTTAGTGGAAGATACAAAAATAAAGTCTGGATGGTGAGTGAATCCTGAATTGATGCTTTGCATTTGTATGGAATGGGAATGCTCAGTGGCAGTGCTTGTGAGATGTAACTACGATTTTGGAAAATTTCTCTGTTTCAGAGCCACTGCTGAAAGGAAATTATTTAGTACACAAATATGAAATAGCTTTAAGAACAGAAAAGCTGCATGGCTAGAAAAGGAAGCTGATGATGCAGAACTAACTAAAATGGATACAAAACAGCATCTCCATTAAAAGATCTTCAACTTGTACTTAAGCTATTTCTGTATCTTTGCTCCATACTAATACTTGAGTAAGAGCCAGTTTCACTGGTGTAGCTGATGTGATTGCTACCCTTGAATATCTCTCACTGTTACAGGTAACACTGGTCTTGAAACAGTTCCTAAACTGGAACAGCTTACAGATTGTTGTCCCACAATAAACAGGCTTTAAACTGAGATGATTCAAGAATTATTTCAATACCATTCACCTCTTTGTACAGCAAAGATGGAGCAGTGACCCTATTAACCAAGCTCACGCAAGCTATCCTTGATAGCAAGCCAAAGCCCTCAGCCTCTAAATTCTCTCAAGCTGGCATGAAATTAGCCTCAGCTGCAGGAACTAATTATCAGGTCCTTGACAGCCCCTTTCACTTTACTGGGGAATTGAAATTAACAGATACAAATATAAATCACTATCTGTAAGGCTATTTTAAGCTGAACTGCACATTTACTGAGTAATAATTTATCCCAACACTGACACAGTAACGAAGAAAATAAAGCATTTAGGAAGAAGTTCAGAAAATAAAAAACATCCCTGATAGAATTATTTATAGTAGTCACTGAAAGCAGCATCAGTGCAGCGAAAAAAAAAGTCAGGAGGACAAGCCTAGAGCAGTGCAAATGGGAATAGCAAATGGCAAGAGTGTTAAATATGTACAGAAGTAGCTACACAAAACCCACAAAAAAACAAACAAAAAACAAACAATGAATGCAATGGTAGAAAAAGCTTCAGATAATGTCATTGCTCTATCCTTAAAGTATATTGGTTACATTGCATAGTGTTTGCATGTACAGAACATAACACTGTTTCCAGTGCTTCTTCAGTAGCCACTGCTCTTGGCAAACGGCATCATACCTGTAGACCTGTACTCATAATAACTGTTGTTATCCATTTTGACTGCTCCTGCCTGCTGTTATCTGTCATCTTCAAGGTTCTAATGGCTCTCTAAGGAAATGTCAGCTGCAATCCTGTAGCAGAAATGATAAGTCACAGCCTCAAACAGTGATTGAGCACCTGGTGGAAGGCAGGGCCAACCCAGGAGAACTCAGCTGCATGCAATGCCCCTGAGTGACCTGAAGGAGTAGAGCCAGGATCCAGTCCTTCCCAGACCTTATTTAAGGGCTGGCAGTGGAGGTGAAAGTATCTCTTGCAGGAGGTCCTTGCCTAGCTGAGGCCTTCCAAAGGTAAGTAGACTCTTCTGCCACCTTCTCCCCTCTTTTTGTCTCTTTGTCTATGGCTGCTATATTTGGGCACGTCCTCTCTTGCTGTAGTTTGCTTGCTGGGACTTTACTACGCTGCTATCGCTGCTATTGCTACTGTGTTTTCCTTTATGCTGTAGCATTACAAATTCTCTGAACAGCTTAGGAGAAAAAAAGCAAAGCAAACAAGGATACTCCATGACAATAACAAAAAACTAACGACGACAACAACAACAACAAAAAAGTGGTAAATGTAATCTGTAGGTTGAGGAGATGAAACAAAAAAGCACTGATACCTATGGGTCTGATTGGAGCCCGAGGCAGAATCCAGCTCTCTGTAGGTACCTACTGCTTATGTAATATGGCAATTAAGTAACTATGCGAGGCCATAATGGGGACAGAGGTTCAGAACAAATGAACAACTTCAAAAAAGCACTGCTGGGGAGATTCAGTGCCTGAGGACCCCTAGCCGCGTGCTGGCAGGGCACAGCTGCACACCCAAGGCGTGCAGCCTGCTGAGCAGCAAGCTGCTTTGTGCCAAGCCTCATTCCCGGTTTCCGTTCTGAGATTCTCCGTTCGTTTGACAAACCTGGTCTTGAGCACAGGTGCAAACCCGCAGGCCCCATAGGGCCGTGAGTAGTTGAGGCAGAGGGAGCACTGGCGCTTCCGGGGGAGGGGGGGGGAAATCTCGCGCTTCCCGCCCTCGGGGGGGCGCTCTCCGGCCTGAGGGCGCTGCTGAGCCCGGAGCTGCTGGCCGGGGCTCCGCTTCCTCGCGGCCCTCACGAGGCGCTGGCGCGTGGCTGCCGAACCAGCCTTCCTTCGCGGGCTCTAAGTGAAAAGAAAGGAAGGTCTCCCAGCCGCACCTGCTAAGAGCTCAGACGTGTCGGGAGCGGCCCGGTGGCTGCAGGGCTGGCCGAGAGCCTGCTGCCGTGCGCGGTACCTTTAGACTGTATAAAGGACAGGGAAGTGTGAGGAAATCGCGGGCAGAACGAGGGGCGCCGCGAGCGGTGATGGCGGTGCTTTGTGTTCATCGTCGTTGGGCCGCTCTGAGGGCAGCGTCTGCAGTGAGCAGTTGGTGCTGCGCCTGTTTCTGGGAGGAATGTTCCGCGTCGTTTTCTGTGGTACTCTAAATATGGAATAGTACTAAAGTGTAAAAGCAAGAGCAGCGCTGCTTTTCCAGGAAAGGGTTTGAATATTGGTGCTGCTGTTTCCATTATATAAATGGGAACAGTGCTGCTTTCTTACGCTGAAGGAGAAGTGCAGTTTTTAGAAGTACTTTTAAGAAAAAAAAAAAAAGCCTTGGTTTTCAACTGTGTTCTTCAGCCAGTGGCTGTGTATTAAAACCAGTACTTCTAATGGACATCAGAGATAATAGTGAAAACCTTTCTTTCTAAAGCTCTATAGAATGCTTAAAACATGTCCATGTTAAATAGCAAGCTGTGTGGGATGCTGAGGAGCTGAGTTAAGTGTCGCAGTGATTGAGAAATGACTCCTCTCTCTTGTTTCAGGCGAATGAGAAGTGGATTCACGCTGCTGCTCACCTGCGCCCAGCGTTAGTTACCCCTACTGCAGGGCTGTGGGGATGTGGTGCTGCTTTGGATGGTAAGTCATGTTTCTAATTCTTACATTTCTATCGAGCGTAAATGTGCAAGTCAGCACATTAAAGAAAAATAACAAGTATGCGGGGTGTCTGGACTGTGGTGTCTCTGTATGGTTGTGACATGGCCAGTGAACTGTGAAATCATTTCCTGTGACACTGTGGATCCTTTTTAGACTGCCCAACTGTGTGCAAAAATCAGGGTGTTGAGAACATCAGGAATTCTCTACAGATGCAGTTATAATAAGGCAGTTTTGTGATGTCAGCTGGATCAAACCTCATCTGCTGATCTGTAGTTTGAATTCATGCACACAGTGAATGAGTTTGTATTTCATTGTACTGAAGAAATTCCTGGAGTACAGAGCAGGAGCTGTTGTTGAAGTGGTTGTATTTAATTCACAAGCCCTGCTGTGTTATAGATCAATATCTTTGAATTTGTCTAATGTGTACATGCATTAAGTGAACTACATCAATGCTGACAGAAAAGAATAAGATGGAATAAAATGACAATTCATAGTAAAAATATATTTAACAGGTGAGTAGATTCGTTTCATTCTTTGTATTATTGCTCAGATGGTTCCTCCCGATCTAAGTAGCAGGCTGTTTGAATGGAGCTGGGTCTGAAAGATTTTTTCAGAGCATTCTTCCCCTTCCCCCCCCCCCCCCCCCTTCCACAGTGTTATTTCTTCCACAAAGTGATTTTGAGGGATCCTTTGCTGCCTGATATTAAGAGCTAAAATCTGCTTTGCTATCATACCTATGCCAATTCAGTGCTCATTGTAAGTATCTGATGTTACGAAGGACCTTCTGTTTCTCTACAGCTTTGGACTCTTATTCTTGAGGGTTTGAACAGTGCATTGAGGGATGTTGTTTGAATTCTAATAACAAATCAAGTAGCAACCAAAAATAGTTCTAAATGAAAGGATTTGCCTACTTTTGTGGGGTGGGGTTGGACTACATGATTGCTAGAGGTCCTTTCCAATCCCTACAACTCTGTGATCTTTATGCTGCTTTTCTATGGTAGAGGAGTTGATCTCACTTAATGACTTACAGTTACTGCTGCTATGATCATCTGTGATGTTCTGCTAGCTCTTGTTTTAATTCATAAGAGCATTCCTTTTGCAGATGTGTTCATGGTGTGTTTCACATACAGGTGAAGCAGCAGCAGGGAGGAAGAATAGGGCCCTGTCTGGCAGCATATCAAATAACCCTTAGGTGCATGGTAGAGAACCTCCAAATCCTTCTATTACTGCCTAAGAGGGATTAGACCTCCCATATGATGAAGATAATGGCTTAAGTGTTTGGATTAACTGATTTATGACAGGGCAACATTTCTCACCTGCCCATCACCTGTTTTGTTCTCTTCTGATATGATCCATGAAAAAGTAATTTTTTTTCCCTGTTGGAGGGGAGGAAGGAGGATCCAAAGGTCCACTGAATGGGTATAAAAAGTAACATTTTTTACAGAGCTGAAAACTAACCTTGGCAGCAGCCCACATGCTCAATGAAGTACAATGACTCAGCATTTAAGTTACACATAGGATTTATTATTTCCATCTGTCATACACAAATCAATTAAGAATTTCCAATATGTAGCATGGGGAAGAAAGCTTGTGGAAGTACACAGCCCTACAGTGATTCTGGAAACAGAAGAGTGGGCTCATGAGGAATCACTTGGAAATGTGGTTATTTGGGCCTCAGCTACAGTCCTAATTGATGTTTGGAAAGCAAGCAAATTGAAAACGTGCAAGCATTCAGTTTGAGAACTTAACATGCCCCTTACTTTCCCAAAGATGAAATGGTTAAAATATAAAAAGGATTTTAATGCCATGGACTACAGGTAGCAACTCAAAACTCTTCTCTAAATGCATCCTATTACTCTTATATAAATAGACTCATCTAAATTACTGGAGTGTAATAGTCCAAAATACAGGGATTTGAATTTCTTGCTCTACCACAGCGACACAGGCAAGAATTTTGTTACAGATAGGAAACTTCACTAAGAGGTGGGACTTAAGTTCATAGGTGTGAAAACTGTCTCATTCTATGAAGGTAATGAAGTTTTGATGCTACCTACGCTGAATTTGGTTTGTCTGTTAATCTTCAGCACGTTGTTACAATTCTATGGAGATGCAGGATGCCATGTTCAGAGGGGATTATAAAAAAAGTGAAGAACTGAAGTGATCTCAGTAAGCATGAGTTTGAGATAATCACACATGTGCTTGACTGGGGTAAACCCAGGGTGGTACCAGAGTACTACATAAAGATTGCAGCTATGAGGATGTGAACTTCAGTCATTTGTTACACTCTTACTCAGCTTGGTTTCAAGGTGATATATAAGCCAGAACTTTATTCTGATTATCAATCTTTCTGTTCAAATACTTTAAAATATCCTGATTCTTATAAATACAGATATGATACTGTTCATGCTAACCTCAGTGGGAGCTGAAAAAAGCATCAATGTCCCATTTAGTTGTGTGCATAAGATTGGATGAATTGCCCCTGGGTTTGTACATGTGAGTCTATTCAGATTGACCAGAGTATTCACTTGCTCCTCCTGCCCCAAGAACTGAGAATTTGGATCTTGAAGATATTACATTGCAGTAGGTCTTTTGTTGCTTGTAATGCAAAATGCTGTATTGCAGAACTTTGATTTCTCTATCTGAAGGGACTTCTGAGCTGGGAACTCCAGCAATATATCAAGGAAGCAACTTGATGGTTTTGCATTGTTAATTATCTCATACTTTAACTGCTTCCAGATGGCTGATCAAGATTAGAGCCTCATTAAGTTGAGTAACACATAACATGAATATGCATATTGCCTGCCCCTGGTGCCAGTTCCATTACCCTTTCTGAGAAGTGAACCTGAAAAGGTTTTAACCTGAAAGCCAGTCTGCAAACGTTGAAGTGCATTCACTTACATTTGCAGAACTATAGCCTAATTGACTATACAGGGCAGATGATTACACAGCAAGTATAAAGGGAAGGTCAAATGCAAGAATAAACAGGTGTGCATGTGCATACATGCCCTGTATTGCTTATTCACTTAACAGTTATCAACAGTTAAGAAAAATAGGAACCAGGGTTTTTTTAAATTGAGAGCCACTTTTAATGTAAATTATCTTCCTCTGTAACAAGCGTTGTTTTCTTAAACATATGCAGTAGCTGCTGATAGGAAGCTTCATTTTAAGTGAATGGATTGGAGCTGTGATTTTTCCAAAACTGAGCACAGTAGAGCTTATTTTTGAAAAACAGTCTCTGTAGCTTGTGTTCAAAAGATACAGGTGGAAACCACTATGAATTTGCTGCAAGAGATCAAAGCTTTTATCTATGTTGCATTTTCAAATGTAAAAGCCCATTTTCATGGAGTCATCTGTTCTAACAGGGCTGCTGCTTCTGTCTTTTGTCCTCAGTTCCTGCACAGTCCTGGCAAGAATGTCATCTATCAATGTAGAAATGTTAAATCACTCTAGTCATGAAATATTAACAGAACACATACAATTCTGACTCCTAAATTGAAGTCTTTATAGCTGCCATTTGTCACATTTACAATAGTAAGATATTATAAGTTAGAATAAAAACCAGAGGAGTGTGAAATACATATATTGGAAAAGTAGCATTTCTAGTACATGCATTTAATCAAGCTAAGTCCTGAACCTGCTTCAGCTGAGGTCAACAGGAGTTTTTCCTTTGATGTTAGTGGTAGCAAAACTATATCTATTCAAATGTTCTGAGCAACTGATGAACGACATAATAGCTGTTCTTACTTGCTTCATGCAAAGGTTTAGATTACTGAAAGTAGGATGAGCATGCTAGCAATTACTTTGCAGATGACATAACTCAATTTTAAAATACTTTCCTTTAATCTGTACTTGGAACAGGTGATTTAATTTTTTGTTATATGTTTCCTGAAAGACAGACAGTGTTAGGGGAACTCATGGACAGTGTATGTGTGAGAAAAAGGGAAGTTCCTTGCCCACTGGCTCCTCCCAGTAATAAAATTGAGAATTCAGTACTGTTTTGAAATGTATCTAATACCTTGCAAAGAAAAATGTGGAATAAGTTCATTAAACATGTACGTTCAAGTCACACATTACCCAGAAATTAAAATATTGCCAGCAAGCCATATTTCTTGAACTTTATTACTAATCTTTTCCAACAATACTCAGATTTTTATTATAATGTGCATACTTTTATCTGAAGTGACTGTTTCCTGTGAGCAGTTTGTTTACTGAATTCTTTTGCTGTGCTTCATGAATATAATATCTCATGCCTTTAAAACCCGAAGTAAATACATTAACTGAAGAGTTTTGCTAACTATTACGTATCTCTTCATGTTAAGAGTTTCCTTACTAATATTCTCTCATATTCTTCCCAATGGGATCTGCTGGCCATTCTTTTGAAAGAAGCCAGAATCTCCTTTTGATCGCATCTTGGAACGTTTTCTTACCTAACCTCAACACTGCTATTCCTTCCTCATTTGACTCCTGTCCCCATCTTTGATACTTTCCTTAGCTTCCCTAATTCTGTTTTCAGCAAATCCTTTAGAAGAACCTCTGCTTTCCTCAATGCTTTCAGTATTCAGCCTCAGCTTTTGCTTTTATTCTCCACAATATGTGATTTGCTGCACAAATACAATTTTGCTAGCAGTAAAGTGTAAAAATGGTCATAACAACTCCTCCAGTGCCATCTATACTCTTATTTTTCCAAGCAAGAATGGTAATTACACCTACTGACATAATGTTTTGAAGGTCTAGCCTATTTTAAACTTAATGTATCCATATCCATTAAACATTTAAAACAGTTAAACAGGTTTTTTTTCACTTGGTAAAATGTCATTCAGGTTAGGCAAGAGCAGGGTCATCACTGTAAAGTCTAAGTCCTGTTCTGAATTTCTCAGCTGTACCTGTAGGGTACAGGCATCTTTATCCACACATAACTGAATTTCATGTAACTTGTTACCTTTTGTCTGTACCTTTCTCACCTTAGGTTTTGACAAAAGCAATTGTATTGCCCTTTTTCATTTAAAATACTACTGCCAAGAGAAGTCCTTAGCAATAGCTTTGACTATGTTGTCTCTTCATTATCATCACTGATTTCCCCTCTGCCCTTTCCTCAGCTGTACATACCCAGTCTTCACTTTGCAGCTCAGTGGGAGCTCTTATAATTTACTTGGGGCCCATGATGCTAGCTTTGATTGCCTGTGTATTAAGGTTTCAAACAAGGATTTGTCCCTCATTATCTGGTCTTCAAATCTTACCCTCCCACTTTCCCTTCCCATAATGAATACAGAGGACAAGAAAAAGTATTCAAGCTGATGATGCACTGAAACCATTGCTAATCAGGTGGGCAAATATTGACTCTGATTCTTTTCCATCTATGTTTTTTTTTTTTTTTTTTTTTAATCTTTTGTCTTAACTTGGATTATAAGCACTCTGTGGAAGTTCTTGCTTTAATTCTGTGTTTGTACTGTGTCTAGCCAGTGGGATATTGGTCTGATTAAGGCTCACAGGGAGTCGGGTAGTATGAATTAAAAACAATACGACTTTCTCTTCCTGCTACTTCTACAGAAACTACATGGCTGAATTCTGTTCTTGCATCAGTATACATCAACTGAATAATACACCAAGTTCTCCGCACTGGTCTACTACAAAACTATTGCAGAAATAGCACCAGCATCAGTGGGGACTTGAGAAGAGAATCTGTCTTGCTTTCTCAGCTGTAGTATGAAAATTAACTACAAACAAAACCCACCCACAACCCTGTAATATGATTGTATTCCAGTACAACACGTGAAGCTCTGTGAGCTAGTTGTCAGTTATTTTTCAATTCAGTAGTATGGGAAAGGTTTTTAATTATCATGTTGAATATCTTTCTTCCATGGGTTTTTAAGATCATTGTCAAACAGAAAGGAAAACTAACTTTTTTTCCTCCCTGCTTTCTTGATGTTAAAGAATGACCTAATTTTCCTCTTCCAATTATTTTGTGGAAAACATCACTTTTGCTTCTGTATCAGAAATGCAACAAAGTAGCATTCTTGAGTAGATGTTTTGCCTCAGAGCTCTTTATTATGTCAAATCCAAAGATAAGACAAGGTCTGTCTTCAGTCATATTTTGACACAGCTGAGTTTCTGATCATGAACAAAATAAATGAAGTTCCTAAACAAAATTAAGGTGCACTGTCAGAGTTACACAAAAGCTTGCAAAACTGACCTTATTACCAATGGTTATAGTCAGCACACGTTGTATGTTTATCTTAAACAGTTCTAACAAAAAAACCCCAAACCATTAGTAGCCTCTTACTGCCATATGGCTCTTATGAAGGCACTTTTCCTCTTGGTGACTAAGAGGAGATAGAATACTTCAGGTTTTCAACTGTGTGAAAGACAAGAGCCACCAGACTAGATAACTTCTACCAGGTCTTGAAATGTATACTTTCACAAATATCAGACGTGCTGTTTTTCAAACACGAGCAGCATTCTCCCAACTCCTCTCAATTAATGTACTATGCCATTAAAAAAATATTTACTTAAGTACATTTTCAAGAAAGAAGTGATGCCCTTCCTCTAGCACAGACCCTTTATATAGAAGTATTTGAAGGGAATAACATTTAAAAAATTATTAGAAACTTGTAAACAAAGCAAACAATAAGTAGTAAAATATGAAGTCTGGCAGCAACAGATGAAAATCTGTTCTTATTCATAAGCCCAAAAAGGATTCCTATTGAAACCTCTTCTGTGAACAAAAATATGTTTCTAGTATTAAAAGCAGTGTTGGCACTCATGACCTTTTGACATAACCAGTCTGAATCTTTATTGTTGTAAAATGAAGTCACCATATAGAGAGGGAGAAGAAAAAAAGGAGGGAGTAGCCCTACTAAAGGTGCAGTTATCTTTAATCTCTTGCTCAATGAGCATATGAAGTGGCCAAAAGGAAGATAAAAGTAGAGAGGAGACCAAGATCTTTCTTTCATGTCATCTAATTTTTCTAACAAGTCTAGAAAATACATGCTCAAAGTTCATTTTAGAAAAGACATACGGTTAAGACTTGAAAAATTTCTGTACTTGCAATTAAATCTAGATTATAAATTAACATATTTACCTCATATCAGAAAGATTGCCTCAGTACCAAGAATTGCTTGTTCTTGACTGATGCAGTATTTCACTGTATGGAAACAACACATCAAAAATAGATTTGGGGAACGGGTTGGAGTTAGGTTGCAAACATTTGATCACCTTAATGATGAGTTTCCAGTTCAAGAATTGTCCATTCCCCTTGAGGGGAAGAACAGTCTTCAGATGAAAAGCTTGCCACTGTAATGCTTGCTGAAGAATCATCAAGTGGAGACATAAGCTCAGTCCACCTACTGAATGTGTCAACTTGTGATGTACCCTGAGGATTTGAACCATCTCGTGCCAGAAACAGCGTCTGATTGATTAGACATTGTGCTAAGTTAAGGTCTTCTGGAACAGAGTTTTTGAAACCTATGTTTGAGTCCTGTTCAGATAACAGTTGCCTGAGAAGAGTCCAGTCCTGTTCTACAAACTGCTGATCTTCAAAATCCACGTCAAGAACTGCTGTTTCTGAATCCATCCTCTGTTCAATTGCTTCTCCAACATCCATCTCATATATTGGAGAAAGGGTTTTTGAAGGCCGATGCTCATACATGCAGGTTTGTGCCATTGTGTCATAATCATCTATGTCTCCTGAAATAATTCACAATACTGTACAATGTAAAAATTGCAGATGATCCTCCCCTCAAGGGTTGTGTAGAGCAAAACTTAACTCATTGAGGAAAGATAATCCAACCAGGTTATAAAGGGAATGATGGAGGGTTATACAAAATTGACAAAATTTTAGGCATTTATTTCCTATATAGAAAACAAAGTATGGTTTATAAATTAAGTTAAAGCAGCGATCACCACTGATAATTAACAATAACCTCCATAATTAAGTTTCTGATACAGAAAATGACAATGTAAATACACACTTAATGCACATGAAATTTCTCATTTACTACATAAATTAAATTTAGACCAGGAGGTGCATGGAGATAATTAATAGAGAATGATTACTGTATGGTGACTTAAGCTATGTCAGCTTAGGAAAGAATTAAAAACAAAATAGTTTATCCACAGGCTTATTTCCACATTGCGCATGCAAGGGCAGCTGCAGGCAAGGGCAAGCAAACTTCAAAAAAAAAAAGTACAGCTTTTAATGTCTTCTTTTTATGTAGTCTGGCTGAACATAGATCATCATCAGTTTTTCATTACTCTTGAATACACAATAGTTGATAACACTATTGTATATTTTTGATGAGATAAACAGACTGAGTTACTGGTATAAAGAAGACAAAACACAAAACAACTAGACAAGTATTCCATCTAGCCACATGAAACAAATTAGAACTTTTCTATGTGTAAGCATCAGTTCTAAGTATAATCTCTATTTTAGGAAATAAGCTTTTACTGGTAAAATTTAGAATCGTAGACATCTCAAAAGCTCTAAGTCAGAATTCAAACCTGTTCCCACTGATGAATATGGCAAATAGTTATTCAGTGGGAGAAGGATCCAAATTTATGTGAAATATATAAATAAATTACAACAGTAATGCATATAGCTGTGCAGGTAAACAGTTCAGTGCGCTTTAGTTAAGGTTATTACTGTAGTTATTGCACATCCCATTCAGACATACTATATGTTGTCAAGCAGACAAAACAAATACTAAGTTTCCATCAGATGCTGTCAATGTTAGATTGGATCAAAAATAACTTAAGTACAGAAATCTGCATCCAATCTTTCTTTTAGCATTACATTAAAATTTCTTTCAACGTTTCTCATTGAACAGCACAGTATTTACGGATATTTCAGACAATCATTCTGTACCAAAGTGAAATACTTAAAAATATTTAAATTTAATGTAATTTTAGCCAAAATTACTTCAGTTCAGGATTCAATCCCATACAAATTGCCAAAGACTTCCCTAGTAACTTGCTTTTGAACGACTGAATGTTTCTATTTCTGTACATTACCTGGAAGTAAATCAGTATTAGCGTATTCTGTAGGTGCTGGTTGACTGTCTCTCACTTGGCCTTCCTGAGTCAGTATCTGATTCTTACTGGCTTCTGCAGGTTTTGCGGAGTTGCTCTTTTGCACATCAGCATTAGTTTCTCTTTGATGAAGATTCAGATGACACGGTCTTTCTTGAGATTTTGCATCATTGTCTAAGTATTTATTGCACTGCTGAAATTCAGTAGCCGCTTCATTCTTTGTGTTTAGTTTTTCCCCTGGACAAGGACTAGCTACTGAGTGTACTTCCTCTGCACAGTTTTGTTCAGTCATTGAAGCACCTTTATCCTCCTTCCCTGGGATTTCAGTACCATGAAGATGTTGGAGAGAACTTTCTCTTTCATCCATTCTGTTGTCTTGATCCTTAGGCTGTTTGCAATCCAAGAATCCATCTTCAATTTCCAATGAGTATCTTGAATAAAAAGTCTTTCCATGGTGCTCCTGGGAAACACTGTCAAATACGTCTGAAGGAGTAAGAGAATCTATTGAATGCTGACATGAAGTGTGAGTTTCCACTCTGTCATCAGATCCCAATTCTTCGCATTCATCTACTGAAAGTAAAACAGATCGTTTGAAACTTTTAGTTTTAGAAAACTCTTGACTTGCAGTAGCACTTTCTGTTGCATCTTCGAAAGCTAAATTATCAATTCCTTGGAACTGCTGAGCAGGAACGTTTGATGAAAGAATGTTTCCTGCAACATTTTCTGGTTCAGATCTGTCATCTTCTGTTTCATCAGCAGAAGAAGAAACTTGGTCTGCTTCCTGAGTAAACGGTGCATTGCCAAAAGTAGAATTTTCAGTTTCTCTGGTTCTGTTCCTTGCACTTTCTTGATGAGACCAAATTTCAGGTTTTTTTCTTGGTATTTCATCATCACTTGTTGAATTAACACGGAAGAGATCAGAGCCTTCTTTTTTCATTTTGACTTCTATTCTAAGGCTGCTGTCATAAATTTTTAATTCTTCAGGTGTACTGGTGTCACTGCTGCTTCTTCCAAGAAAATCATGGCATAACATGGTGCTGCATTTAGAAATCCCTCTCTCATTGGATCCTTCATCATCTTGAGAGCCTCCAGCATCATAATCTTCTGATCTTGGTTTTATATCATCAGAGGATGTGGTTGCACTGCCAGTATCTGATTCAGGACTCTCTTTTGGATCTAGTGCACCAGTATTCCAGTGGTCCACAAAGGGAATTTCTGCATTTTCCTGGTTTTCTGGCATTTCTGTGGGATCAATAGACTCTGTGTAATTATGTGAACATTTGTCTCTTGTTTGTTCTATGGAATGTTTTGAAACATCATCTAAATCTACTGTACCTGATCTGTATTCAGGCAAGGCTGATGCGCCACATGACTCATCAGCTGGACGAAATCCCTCCATGTGAGTGTGAGGAGGTGATGTTACATCCTCTTTATTAGTTATCCCTTTGGAAAAGCTTGGTAAAATGTTTTCACTATGGTTAAGACCCGTATCAGTGCTTAATTGATCACTTTGTTCCATGCAGACTTTTTTTGCTTTTGGCTGTTCTACCAATTCTTCTGAAGTAGCAGCATTTTGATTTGTTTCCTTGGAAAAGTCTGAGTATTCATCACTGGTAGACTGTACGTGACAGCAAAATTCAGCAGTATTATCAGCTAAATTTCTGTCTTTATTCTGATTAATTTCAGCCTGATCCCCACAGATTTCTCTTGCTTCTATTCCATTTTGCAGTGAAACATGCAATTTAGAAACAGTTTCTCCTATAACTAAAGAAGATTTTGATTGTATTTTGTATTCTCCATCTTCAGGAACCAATAACTTTTGTTTATCGGGCTGACAAGATGCCAGGAGCTCATCTTCTCTGCTACCTCCCATCACAGATTTCAGACATTCACTTTGCTTTGCAGAACTGCATTCGTTGTTGTCATGAGGCTGAACAGTTGCCACATCAGCTGCATTTTTTCCAAGTTTCTGTCCTGGACTTCTGTGCTCAGAGGTCTGCATATTCTTCTGGACAACAGGAGATTCACACCTTGAATGTTTTGGGGTAGAGGACTGAGATTTTAATACAGATTGCCCAGCTGTTTTTGGTTTTGGGTCTTTATTGTTTGTTATCTCACCATGCTTTGACAGAGCTTGAGCTTTGGGCGTTAGGATTTTTGCAGTGGCTTTTGCTACAGGTGTTTGTGATGGCTTAATACTCTTCTTCTTGGCCGAAGGATGTTTTTCTGGGGGTGTTGTCTGAACCAGATGTTGTGCTACATTTCTTTCTTCATTATGTTTTGGAGACGCTCCTGATTTCAGTGAATTTGGTGACTCCCCCATAGTTCCTAGCAGACAGTAAAATAAGTTAATAAATAAAGATTGTACATTGTAGTCAGCATTTATGCACTGAATTTGTATTTGTGTGTGTTTGTGTTGAGAAGCAGGTTATTCAGGTTTTTGTGCAACTAGAGAATGGAAAGCTTGTTAAAGCACAAAGAGCAGAGATCTTAAATATAAACACAAGATGAAAACAGCATCTTGTATTTAACATACCATCTTTGGAACTAAAGCGCTTTGTAGACATAAAGGAATTTGACCTGTTGCTGAAGAAGCCATCACTGGAGCAGAAAGCAGCAGCTATCTGATAGGGATGAAAACACTGCACACACAGCATTTTAGCACAGGAAGTGATGAGTACTGCATGTAATTTATATTGTAGAGGAAATGAGAGAAGGCAGAAAATAATTACATTAGTTATAATGTGATTAGAATACCAGAATTAATATCCCTGCTCTGCCTGACAATGCTGCAAGATCTCTAATGACCATAAACTGACAGGATCTATGTTTTCTGTATAATACATATAGGATAATGCAACTTGAACACGCTTTCCTACCACTGTTGGTGAGTGCCAGCTTCAAATGAGATTAAGAACAGCTCCATCCTGAATGCTTTATATCTCTGTAATGCTGAGTTTCTTCTCTGTGCTCATAAAGTCATTTCCCACACTTGTGGTGGAAATTAGTTTGAGGCAGGTCAGCATCAGTACAGTGATTTCTGGGCATCAATAAAAAGGGTGGCATAAACTGATGCTTCAAGAAGCTGTCTGCAGTCCTGATCTTCTGTGCTGATTATAAATGCTTGACCTACAGATTTTGGTTGAACATAATGCTAGTTGTAGTTGCAGTGGCACAAGGTAACTGCAAGTAAAAGGCTCTGCAAAGCAGATCAAAGCAGAAGAAAACAACAAGTGAAACTGTAGGCCGTCTCTTCAAATATTTTACAATTGACACTTGGATACATTTCACTGGTTAGGGCTGTCACCAAAAGTGAAATACGGAAAACAGAATTGCTCACAAGATTTTGCCAATGCTTGCAGTAAAAAGGAAAAAAAAAAATAACAGAGGGCTGTTTCATTGCAGTGTGAAACTATACCTTGGCTCTTAGGAGAATGGGTAGGTGTGTCCTGAGCCTTCTGCTGTGCTGCAGCATTGCTACTCCCATTCCCTTTCTTCTTTAGAACAGCCTGTGCATTCTGTTCACTGGACAATTTTCCAGCCGTTTTTTTTGTTAGACTGCAAATAAATCATTTGCATTATTTTCAAGATTAGCAATGTTTGATTGTATTTAAACAAGCAGTATATGTGTTTAAATCTATACACGTACATAAAAACATTGAAAATCCAACCTAAAAGGTATACTTCTTTTGGAAAGAAAATATACATTCACCTATATATGTGCATATATGCATACAGGCACACGTACACACTCATATATCAAAATACAAATGACCATTGTAATATTTCACAGGATTTGAACTTCTTCCTGTCCAGTGTTTTTGCAGCTCAGTCTAAGCTATCCCCAAAACGATAATTTTACAACACCTTGGGTAGACATTAAATGTTCCAGTATGCAGAATTCTGAATGACCTATAACAACATTCAAACAATTAGCATTAAAAAAAAGCAATAGAAAAAACAAGCCAATCTTTCATTTGCGAAATAGCTCCAACCACTAACTCAATATTTTGTTAATAACATGTGATAGACAGTCATTCTGAAATATTCTCAGGTTAAAAAGGACAGGTTGACTTTTAATAGCAAGTGTAACAGTTCAACTGAAAAAAATACCATTTCACAAGCATGCGTGCACACACACCAACAAAACCCACCGTGCTGATTTGTAACAAACCTGCTTGTTGTGATATTAACTTCAGGATCAGCTTTTTTTTTTTTGTTGGCAACTCCATTTGACGTCTTCAAAGAAGACTTCGTTATCACTGTTGTGAAGTAAATTCTAACTTAATTATCAGATAAAATGCAGTGCATATCACTAAAAAAAATATCTAGCATATGAAGGTCAGCAATTGAAAATCAGATCGATGCTAAACCTGTAAAACTTACAGCATTTCATATGGATATCAGTAGAGGACAGACTTTTTAAAAACAAAGTCTATGAATTTAATACTATACTAGCATACTAATAATATACTAATTAGTAAAGTATTTAATAGTATACTGTTTTCTAGAGTTAATATTCGCTTACAGGGAAAGAAAGGGGACTTGTATCAATCTATAGTTTTCTTCTAAGGTTTCCCCAGGGAGTTTTTCAGTGCCTGGCTGGCCTGGGACAGCTCAGAAGACTTTTTTGGGAAATAAATAAATATATAATTTATATAATATATAATTTTATACATATATATATATATAAAAATTACCAGTATGTTTTTTTCCTTCTTCTGCCAATTTTTCCTCTTTGGATTCTTCTGTCTGTTCACTGGCAGCCTGGATATCTGTGCTGGAGTTTGTTAACTTGCTGGATGTTCCTGCTGCAGTTGCGGTGGATGGAGATTCCTTCCCAGTGTTTTTTTTTAATGGCTTTGTTTTGCTGGGCACACTTGAGGTTACCGTCAGCACTTTAGGTCTGGCACCTGCTGTTTTTCCTTCATGGTTCTTTAATCCTTTGACACTTCCTGAATTTTTTTGTCCACTTGAAGTGGATGTCTTTTCAGCATCTTGCTTGGCAAGCATGCTTTCAGCCTTTGCATTTCCATTATTTTCTATTTTTGTTTTTATAACAGCTCTAGCCTTTGGTGAAGTAGTTTTTTCCCCAGGTTTTGAATCTTTATTAAGTTTGGAAACTGTTTTTTTGCCATCTTTTCCCTTTACATCCTCATGCTTTGAAGTCTTGCTAGTGGTGTTTCTATTGGTGCTCGATGCATGTCCAGATGCTCCTAATCCATCAGATTTCATTTTATCCCGATTAGTGGGAGAATCTCCCCAGCAACCTTTCTTGCCGTGTTCTGTCCAAGAAGTATTCCTTTTACCAGCAAATTCAGTGATGGATTTATTTAGCTAGAGAAAAAGCATCCGAAAGAAAACAGAAGAAATTTATCACACTAAGCAATGGTAATCTTTAATTTCTGAATCAACTATTTCATAAATAGTACAGGAATCTAAAACAAGCTTCAAAAGTGAAATAATTTTTAAGATCTATATTTTCAGATCAGGTTGCTGCCTTTCAGAGGTTAAAAAAAAAGTCTTCATACAAATTTGTCTGTTTTATGTGTATTACCAGTGCCTGATGATGGAAGCTACTTATGCATATTTTCCAAAGAGGAATAAAGGCTATACATTGCTACAGACATAAGAATTAACTTAAAATTCATGTGTTTCTTTCTTAACCATTACCAAACAGTGTCTCCACTAGAGAAGTGACAGTAATTATCCTCGCTCTCAGGCAAAGCCATTCTGAAAGATGGGAGAATTAAGTACATGAAATGGAATCTTCATGTAATTACACTGTATCCATGACCATCAGATCATATGAAACCCATGCTAGTTTTCTATAAACAGTAATGTAACTTTGAGTGTAAATCTCAACAGAAGCGTTGTTGAGACCAGGGGAACATTTTTTCAGGGCAGGGAGTGAACAGACACGGTGCTGCCATGGCTGTGACAGCAGCAGAGATTCATTAGCTCAGGAGCAAACCATTTGGCCTGGGAAACAGATCAGTTTCATTACGTAGCAACAGGGGAATGTGAGATTCTGAACACAAATTCCTATCTTTTATTTGAGCTTATCTGCATAAAGCCAAGTCCTGAGAGGTTTCAAAATAATGGACATTACTAATTGTGCAGAAACTGAATTTCACCAATGGAATACAAATTCTCCAAAAGGAAAATCTGTTAATTAAGTTAGACAAATAATATTGAATGTAAAACAAATAATGAAAAGAGTTACGTTTTCAAGCTTCTGAGTACTTCTGATATTTGGAGATGAAGTTTACCTGAGAACTAGTGAATACAGGTTTTTTGGCAAGTCTTCTGTCATCACCCTTGTCAAATGCGGCTGGAAGAAGGAAAAGCCCTTTACTGACCATTTAGCAGAAAAGAAAACTGAACAATTCAGACTACACTCACTTGAAATCAGAGAGCAATTCATCCTTACTTTATGAAGGCTAATTTTGGTGACATGGAAAATGTTAAATGGAAAAATATGGTTTTCCGTTTGGAAAGAGAAATGTGATTTCTGTAACATCACATGGCCACAAGCAAGTTGTTTAACCCTTACTGTGGAGATAGAGAAACAGAAAACACACTTTTGTTGATCCAGTCTGACCTCATGTAACGCTTGAAGTGTACTGAGGCCTTACAAAACGTGTACAGAAATTTACAAAAAAGAGAGACTGTCAGAATTAGAGTGACTTTTAAGTGATTTACTGACAGTTATAAAGTATACTATGTAAATAGGAAATTGATTACAGTAAGCTAAATTATATTAATTTTCAACAGTGGCAAAGTCAAATCTGAATGTACACAGTAAGGTCACGGTGCCTCTCTAAATAGCATATAGCTGCATGTCATGAGAGCAATCCCTGTGATTGTCATGTGAAATTTGCAGGCATTGAATGCTTTTTTTTTTTTTTTTTGCCTGTTCTACTCTGGGAGAGAAGCGCTTTTCAATAAAGCTTTTAAATCAATTGAGTTTACAGAATAGAAAAGGATATTTATAGTCATGTAGGCACCCAGAATCGATACGGTTTCCTTTTTTTTTCTTCCCAAATGTTTCAGCTGAAAAAGAGCTTTTAAGTAATGTTACTAAAAATTAATCATTCAGTCCCTCGTGCTCTGATGTATATTTGTACATACACAAAAATGTATCCATGTGTAACAATGAAACAAAAATTCTGTTGAATTCTTATGTAAGGTAACAAAAATATTTTTAACTGTAGTGCTGTAAAAATCATAGAAGAAAAGATATGCTGAAAATGGCACCCCGGGGACCTAATTCTTTTCCAGCAATGACTCTGCACTTTAATACATACTAACATATTAAGATAAAATCCATGCAAACCTGTGCCTAAGAAAGCACAAGACACGTTGTGAATGATAAAACCCACAATATCATCTGTCTTCTTGTGGCATTTTTCCTCCTGTTACAGTGTTCCCACCCATTCTATATAAATGGTTAGGTTAAAATCCTAAAAGACACACCTCCATTGCCAGAAATCTTTAAGACAGAAGTTTATTTAAATCATCTGAGCCCAATTTCACTTGAAGATTAAAATTTGTCTACCAGTATTACGTGATTTTTTTTGCCTGTAATTAAAACCAGATAATTCATGCAGCCCTGCTGTTTACAAATAACATGTATGCTAACTCTGGATTACAATTTAATCTAGAAGAAAGCAAAACAGTATCTGGCAAGATGGAGTTTGGACAACTGAGGCACACCTCAATCTTAAGTGTTTTGTTTCATATTGAAAGCTCTAGTGTAAAACAGTTTGAACATTATTTACAATAAGAGAACAATCATATGAACAAAGCAAACAGACCCTTCTGTTTTCTGAAGCCAGCTCCTTAGCTTCAGACGAACTTCATAATCCAGAAAAAAACAATCACAAATCTGTTTTCTCCAGTAACAGCGAGCTCTTATTTGACTACACCCCAAAATCACGCTCCAAGACTGACGCTGCATCTTTCTCTCAGCATGTTGTAATTCTGGAATAAAATTTTCATCAGCCTATCGGCACGAACAGCTCTGCAGCTCCCACAGCCTAGCTCCTAAAGTCTTTAACAAAAAGAACACTGAAATGTTTACCTTCTTTGAATCAAAAATGCTTTGATTTTAAAGAGCTCTTAAACATTCTTTCCTGTTACAGCATTGTACCGTCAAAGCTAATATTCAGCCGCAGCCCAAACTCCATGGTTGGTTCCGCACCCTCAGGATACTTGTGGGCTTCAAAACAAAGAAACGCACAGAACAAAAACTCCTTTTTGTTGGGAGTGCTGCCTGCTACAATTTTTAGTGAACACTGTGCAGCTCCTTAGGGGCTCCCTGCAGTAGCACACACAATGTCACAATACCAATCAACTGTGAAGGCAAGCTGGCTGCGTTTACTCCCAGAGCCCGAGAGAAGCATTATGCAAGAGACAAGCAAAATTTATACATTATGTAGAATAAGATAAAGGACAGAAACAGAATTCATGGAATGGATCCTCTGTTTTGTGTACATTTAATATTTCCATGGTGCTTATCTCCTTAAAAATGAGACAGATAAGGCTTTTAATCCCACTGCAGTATTTTAAATGATTTAGAGTAGCTGTAAACAAGAGTAGAATCAATCTAGGTATTTCTGCTTCCCAGCATATGCTCTCCTGAAAATAAAAGCAGGGAAGATTTTCTGATTTCTACATTTGAAACTACCTAAGCGTGCTGTTATGCATCTATTCTAACATAACATTTCAGAAACCCATAGGATGACAAACCGTGCTTTAATTTGTATCTGGCTCCACAATATCACCTACATTTTATCTGCTATACAGATTACTAAAAAAATTCGAATGCCAGTTGATGCCAGACATACCTGCTTGTATTTTCTGTTGATGGTCTGGCCGCATCAGCTTCCAGCCTTCTGTGTGACGAACAGCATAAAAAGACTGAACCAGGAAGACCCAGAGCTTATCACGCAGAGCCTGGATCTTGCACGTAAAACCCTGTGTTCAAGTAACAAATCAGCAGCTGGCGAGAGGCATATTGTCATAGCAACCAGTCATTATTCCTTTCAGAATCTACTTACTCCCTAAGCTAGATCAATGATGTCATCACTTTTATTTTATAATGGCCTGGTAGATAGAGATGCTGTTTTTGAAGGATTGTTGCCCACCGTGGTAATTTTTACAGTACTTTGACATCAAATCTCTTCAAGGCAGACTAAAACACTAGAAAACACTACATCCTATTTTTTTCTTCTTTCTTTTCCTTTTTTTTTTTTTTAATGAACCCCTTAATAGTTCTTTACTGTCAGCTGTGTCACAACAAGGTCAAATACTCCAGGGAAAAATAATGTATCTGATTAAATTTTCATTGCTTTTACCAAGATCTATAATAGCACCAGATTGCAGTAATTCATTTTGCATTTATTCTTTGCTTGTAGCATCATTCTGGATTTTAATCAGTATGTCATATTATTCATGAATTATCCCCAGCCAACCACAGTTTAAATATCTTTGTTCATTATTTAGATTGTGGGAATATACATGACATGTTAGACAGAGACTGACAGCTCCCCCCAGTCCAAAAAACACACACTTGGTTGACAGGCACCCCTTGCTTCAGAAGTCTGAAACAAAAAAAATCATAGCTGGGACTTTTACAAAAAGAAAGGTAAAAGATGCACAGTCAAATGATGCTCCCTTACTCTGTAAGTTTCACGTAATGCAACATTTTCATAACATTTCCCTCATGACAAATCTGAGGCAACAGTAAAGATCAGCAGAGCAGTAGTGCCCGTGGGACTTACATTCTCAGTAATACACCTTGTTATTGCCATATATAGTATTTCTCCTTAAAAGAAAAAAGTATTGATGTCCGCTAAATAAATGCCAATATCTTAGGCAGATGACCAGCAGGTCCTTGCATTTATGCAGATGCCTTTCTGCCCAACTGCAGGACTGTGCCACCTGAACTCAAACTACATCATGTAACTGGAATTCTGAAGTGTAAATACCTGAGTACTTTGTTCTACAAACACTGCACGTTGCAAAACCTACCAACTCCTTCACGTCTGCGGAGTCCAACAACGTATCCACAGCTACAAGAAGAAAGCAGCTATTTTCATTATTTGTATTTTTCTCAATTGCATTAAAAATTAGTTCTAGGAGATCAGGTTTGCTGCTCATTGCCTGTGCCTGAGAAAACAACAGAACGCAGATGTTTAAAACAAAAGAATGTACTTTGCATCCACAAAAGCATTACATAGCAGAGAGAATCTGCTGCTGTGTCAGTGCAGGAAGCATTCCAAAAGTTGAGCATTTTCCCATGCATCCATTACATACATGCTCCACTCTGGGCATCTAATGAATAGTGTTGAGACCTCCTGCTAATCCAGAGTTTAGGAACAAACATGCCGTGATGAATTTGTCTCCACAGAAAACTCTAAATTCAAAGACAAAATGTTTTAACATCTCCATATTTATTTTTTTAACCCTTTACACATTTTTTTTTTCCATTGGAGGAATTTACCTGCTATGAACAGGTATTTTCTAACTAGGATCTGTGGCATTGCCAAATTCTTGCAACAAAAAAAATCAGTGGAAGTTTGAGTATGCTACCAATAGTTATTCCTATAAGTACAAGCTGTCAATCCAGGAGCTCGAAGTTCAGGAAGCTTGTGTACATAGTTATCTCCATGCAACACAGAGATTGTCTCACTGAATTCTTCTGTGAACGCTTACTCTAACTGAGGCACACACTCAAAAAAGGTATTAACCCTTAATATGGGTTAACGACACTTAAACTTAGCATTGCCTATTTTTTTCCCCATATAATTGTGTGTTGAAGCAAAAGTTGAACCTGTTCTGATTATTTAGCAGCCTGGCCTAGTGTGATGTCATACAATTTATTTGGAAACAGAGCAACTTGAGGGCACTTTTACCTGCAGCAGAATATAGAAGCCTTCACTTTGTACTACATGTAGAAAGTTTGCCACAATAAAAGTTAAGCATTCTTCTTGTAGCCTAGAGGCCACGGCCACAGCTCTCTCGGTCCACTTCACCTGGGGAAGACTATTGATCAGCCGGTCACTTTCCATCAAAAGTGAAGCAACGTTCTTGTGGTTCTTAAAATAAAAGCAAAAATTAGCCTGTTGTCCAAAGAATTGCTGCTTGTAAGAGAACTTCTGTTCAGTTACTGAATGCTGCACAAGGATCCAGTGATGTGCTCATTTCCTTTTTGAAAACAAATTTGATTTTGATAGCTCTGAAAATGATACATTTAAAATACGAAAATTAATTTCCTACTATCTATTGCTGGTCAGTGCTTTTGTTTTGTTCATGCTTGTATTAAGTATTTATTCACATTTATTTATTAACTGAAGGCAGCTTCCACTGGCTAACACGTGGCTTAATCATCTAATCAAATCAGGGCTTCTCAGGAGGGGCTCCAGCTGAATTTGACTTCTCTCGTCATGGTTTTTCTAACCATTCTAAAATCAAATTCACTTCACTTACCTAAAAAATATCGGTAATTTTCTTACATCTAGTTGGAATCCCATTTTAACATTTCTGTACTTATTGCAGTGCCTTCCCAGAGATTTTCTACTCACTCACCTTTTCTTTGCCTCTCTAAGGCCTGCCCCATATTTATAAGATTTTATGTTCGCAATATTGATAAATGAAAGAATAAAAAAAGTGATACTGTTTAACTGAGTATAACTGTTAAGAAGTTCTACAGCAGAGCACTGTGAGGATTGCAACACTCAGGATAGTTCTTGCAAAATTCACGTTAGACTTCTTTCTTCCTTAAGCAACTTGAAGCATTTTTGTAGATTTTGAGTTCTTAAAAACTTCAGAGTGAGGTATACAAGTTTTTGGATGGGGTCTTAATTGCTCAGAATTAAATGATCACTCAGCAGAACTGTTCTGTGGGCAGATGAGGCTTATTTTTTGTTTGTCCAATTTGTGATTACAGAAGTTCTATAGGCTTCAGTTTATAAAACATTGGTGAGTCTTGCAGAGACTGACCAAAATTTAACTCTCTAGAACAGGAACCCAAATACACTTTAGTCCAGACTCCAAAATCTTCTGGAGGGGCTGGATACACTGCTAGAGTGGTACCCAGTACCACAGTCTATAATTGTTGTGCAAAAGCTGATAGATAAAGACAAATCATGAATTTCAGCACAAACTGCATCCACAGCATCTTGTCTTATTGTAATAGGCACAGAAGGGAAGAAAGACCTGTAGTGGTGTGGGTTCACTTTCATGCTGTCCTGTTACTGTCTCACTGTCTGGAATGGAGCCTAGAGCTGTGTCAGAGTACACTCTAGTCTATGCAATACATTTAAGCTAGTTTAGGGAAGGGTGCAGATCACAATGCACTGATCTACGATCCAGAAAGCTATACTCAAAGCTTCTCAGATACTTACACATTGTATGACATACCACAAAGCCACCTAAATATTGCAGGAAGAACTGAGTGTACTGATCTAATACAGTGCCAAAACACGTGTACTATCTTGAAAGCTATAGCTACTATCTTCATTCTGTTTAAAATCAAAGCATGCTGGTAGAACGACTGCTTTTTATAGCTGTGGATACTCACAGTCTTCTTCAAGTACAGCCATACAGTTTTGAAATCTCTTTTCAGGCTTTCACCTGAATATGCAGTAGCAGTCACCACTTATAGTTGATGTACTGGCCTCAGCACTTGAAGAGGTAAGTTTTCTCTTGCTAAGTCATCCAAAAAGGTCCTGGGAAGCCTTTCATTGAGGGGCAGTTCTTGGCCAGAATTATTTGGCTTACATCTCTTGAATTAGGGAGTATGTTTGGCAGTGTGGGTAGCCATACCTAAGCTAGTTACCTTGGACAACAACAGCCCAGTGACACGAGAATAAAGTCTTAAGCATGAGATATAAAAGCATTCTGAAGACCTCACATACTCAGCTGTCTACTACAAACACAAAACAAAATCATGCTGTGACTGTTATCTGAGCTGCCTACATTCAGCTTTGTGTATGCTAGATCACATTAGTTCACAGCTAGTTCACAATCATGTCTGGCAACAGCAGTACAAATTTACCTGTAGCTCCTCTACTTACTCTTCACATCTGTGTTACGATTCAGTGTATTTATAGGCTAATTACTGGGCCAAATTCCTGTTAAAATAACAGCTCCATTTCAAACAGCTCTGAGGGTAGTTTTATGTATAAACAATAATAAAGTTTGATCAGATCAAGCAGATCAAAATTGGAACAACGTAAATATATGACAAACCATGAATGCTGAGCTGAGGAGACCAATTCTGTACTGTCACCTGTGAAGGTCGGTATACTGTACTGTTACTGTACTTTTGAAAAATCAGTGATTGACTGAAGTATGTGGGGGAAAAAAAAAAGGTTCAGTTTTCCAAACTAGAATATAGGCAAAGAGGAGAAGGCAATCACAGACAGTGCATGCTGCCACCTAACATAATCTTTGATTCAACAATTTGCTGTTGCTCACCCTCTGAATATACAGTGTTGTGCTGAAGTCACAGCAGTGTTTCACAGACTTCTTTCTTATTATTATACTGGGTGTGATTTTCTCTAGATTGAGTTCCATCAAACATAGATTTTAATCTGCAGATGTAGCTGCTGTTTCCTACACTGCTGTTTTACTGGTAACTTCTACTCAGTATAACTGTACTATAGGTCTAAAATACTCCTGAAATTCTCTCTTGAATTACATTGTAAAGCTAAGTACACTGTAAAAAGTAGTACTATGTTTTATATAAAACACACTGTACCCTACTTACCAAAGACTTAATCAACATAACAAGACAGTTGTTCTGCAGTTCAGTAGGTAGAGTGGCAAAACTTCTTTCTGACAAACATTTTGCAAAATGTTTTCCTACCCATCTGTTGAAAAAAAAAAAAAAAGTGTCTTCTTTAGGTAAGCTTGACAATAAGTGTTCTTGTGCAAGTGATTCCACTAAAGTCCTATGAGGAAAAGTGTTTAAAATGTGAACTTCTGTAAGTCAAAATAAACCCAATCTCTTCAAGTACAATAGAAAGCAGAGAAGCAAACAGACAAACAGAACATAAATCATAATTTATCATATTTTAACTTACTTCATGCAGGCAGCATATAGGTGTTCCACTCCCAGTGAGTGAGCAATAGCCATGCATTCTAATACGGGTTGCTGTTTTCCAGGAACAGGCTGAAGTTAAAAAATTATCACAGTTATTGTAGAGAAACTGTATAGAGCTACAAATTCAAATGGAACTAGTGTTAGTTGCTGCAGGTTAATAAAGTAGCACTCAGCTTAATGAGCCTAACACATGAAAATGCTCGACTCTAAGCAGTTTGTTTTTAAACTGCTTTTACTGAACAGGAATAAATTTTAACTATACGTTGACGAAATCTGATACGCAAGTATGTGGTATTTACATATTCCTACTACTGTTCAGAATAATTACATATACAATGGAATGTTTTACATTTTATTCCGTGTAATTTAATGTAGTTTGTGGAGTAGAATACTGCTTTTTATCGGCAGTTTCTATAAATAGGTGGGTGATAACACAGGCCTTACTGCCATCATCAGTCCTTCTGAGTTTAACAGATTCACACATAGGAACACGTTCTGCTGACTTCAGCCAAAACACAAACCACATGGCTGCTAAGTATCTCATCAATATGATCTGTAAGTAATGGAATCAAAATTCTTCCTTTAGGCTTTGTAGTTGACAAAGTAGCATGAGAACTGACGTACCTTTTGGAAAAAATTGCAGTAATCTCTCTTCAAAATGTAGATAGCTACTTCTTTCAACCCATCTAGCCCATACATATCTGCAATGCCCAACATGCGACTAAAGAGAAAGTAAGAACAATGGGAATCAAGCAATCGTTGGGATATATGCATTCTGCTTACAAGACAATTTACATACTAATTTCACCTCTTTGCTTAGTCAGAATTTCTCAGTTCCTGGCTGAGACGGTTTATAAGAACTCACGTTTTCTCTACCTGAAGTGTAACAAGTGAAGAAGGTACTTGTGCCAGTGGAGTTCTGGCATTTCGTAATTTTCCCAAGCACTACGTAAAATGTTAGTGATTACACAGTATCTGAAAACTGTGTCCCTTCCAAATAGTAAAAACCATAGTGCCTACAAAATTAATAGTTTCATATCATAATCAATGCCTGCACTTTATTTTCAATAATCAATTAATTATCTAAATTTTGACATTACAGGGCATATTATTTTAGGTTTTTTTTTTTTTTTTTTTTTTTTTTTTAATATTTAGTGGCAGAGTTCCAAAGCTAACAAACAAATCATTTCAGAAACTAATTCATACATTTCAGAATTTATTTCACTAAAACAGGATTATCATATAATAGCAACATGAAACTGGGTTTAAAAATTACACCAGAAAAAAATGCCAACAGTTATATTGGCATATTTAAGACTACATAGCTGTTACATCAAGTGATGGTTTCAGAATACATTCCAAATATTTGCTATTATTACTATGTTGTAGGTATTGTTCTGAAAGCTAAAAGAAATGTACAAGCAAACACATATTATTCAGCTATAGATCCTCCTGTTTTTCACTGTCTTTGCATACTATTACAAAAGCCTGGTAATAACCTGGTCCACCTTTTCCAGTAGCTGCTGAATAAATAATATTTGTTCAACAGCTATTTTATAGGAATTTCCTCAAATATGTTTAGGTGTAATAATCATTTGCCCTTGACATCTTTGTCTTATTTACAAGATATTTACATCTCTGTATTTATTCTATAAGAGGAAATTTCCTTTAGACTCTTAAACGAGAAATTATGGAACAAGCACATAACACAGTTGGAAGTAATAAAGGTTGACATATACCCAACATCAACTTCATCTGGGAAGTCCAGAATAGCTCCATATATAAAATGCAAGATGACACTCATTTCTATATGGCTTAAGCTGCAAAGAGAAAACATAAAGAAGAAACCCAAACACAAATAGAGATGAAAAACAAGTATAGATAAAACTACATTTCTTCACATAAATTTTTTTTTTTTATCAAAAGGGTGATACATCATCCAGCCATTCTGTGAATGGAAGGTAATGGAATTATCAGGAATCACCTGTTAATATTACATACATTTTCCAGATCACTGCAGTGTAACTATGGACAATATTTTGGTTGAACTCATATTCAGTAGTTTTTTTTATTAGTCTTAAGCAGACTATCTACAAGTAAGATTTGACAATTATCTAAATATTGAGATTATTTTTGCTGATAATATGCAGAAAGGATTTTTTTTTTAAATCTTTCCTAAGTCCTTTACTAGTGGTAATAAGTCAGTTTTTAAGTAGGCATACATTTCACAATTGTTTTATAATGTTTTAAATTCATTACTTTTACAAATATATTTTAGCTTTTCCTGCAGTAAAAATAGAGTCAGTAGTTTTATTACAACACGAGGTAGGAATGTTGTATTTCAAAATATTTAGACAAAGTCTTTACAGCTGGATTCAGATTAAGAAATCTGGAAGTCCTTCACAGAGGTGTGTGTGCAATTTTCAAAACCTGTAAGCTGTGTACATTACTGTAAGTGGAACTTGGAAGTGCAGACTGAGTTAAGATCCCTTACAATGTTAGACATGTTTAAGCAGCAGATATTGCTGACTAAAAAGAAAAGATATAAATGGTGGTAACACACTAGGAAGCACAAACTGACACACATGGCAGCACACACGGTAGCCACAAAATCATGGAACAGATTGGGTTGGAGAGGACCTTAAGGATCACCTAGTTCCAGTCCCCTGCCACAAGCAGTGTTACTACGCACTAATTTCAGAGGTGGGGCACCCACAGCTTTTCTCAGTAACCTGTGCCTCACCACCCTCTGAGAAAAAAATTTCTTCCTAACTTCTAACCTACATCTTCCCTGTTTTAGTTTAAAACCGTTCCCCCTTGTCCTGTTATTATCTGCCCGTGTAAAAAGTTGGTCTCCCTCCTGGAAATAAGCTTTAAGTACTGGAAGGCCACAATGAGGTCTCCCTGGAGTCTTCTCCAAGCTAAACAAGTGCAGATCATCTCTCAATCTTTCTTTATAGGAACATAACTAATGTGGCAACCCTCAGTTTGCAGATACAAAGTCTGAACTATTTCTCCTGCACTGACAGCTCAGTTATTTTCAGCTCTTACACACAATGAACAAGCACAGTATCAAAACTGTACATGATATCATTAATAAACAAATAAACATTAATTAAGAAATAGATATTTTTTGTTTTTACATCGTAAATATGCTTGTACAAACAGCTATGAAGATACACTGTTCATCCAGCTGTGATGCTTTTCAGGACATGTACTACAAATAGACTGAATACTAAAATACACTACAAAAAAAAAAAGTATTGGTACTCTTCTGTTGACAAAAAAGACTTCCCCTGAGCCATCTGACATGTTAAATATACATACATCATTTTCATACCTAAGTCAAAACAGTAGTCAGGAAATGTATCAGGTTGAACAAAAATGTCAGGGCAGATTAACTTTCAGTGCACACCACACTTGCTGTATATTTGCAGTGATTTTCAATTGCATACCTTTGCTCTCACATGGCTTGCAAAGACAACACTTACCCTTGAAGAGTGATGCGCTCTTGGGAGCTTTCAGCCCAACTTCCACTCAGCATAGCAGCAAAGTAACTAGATCTGGCACATAAAATGGCCCTGAGAGAGAACAAAATAAGCATTATTTCACTAGATACAAATACTTATTATGAGACTCTTTGATAACACTGATTTTAACCTTTGCCCTTTATGTATTAAGGTGTCATCTGTATACTGCATGCCTTATCCCTCAGTATATTTAGAATTTTAAAATATACTGAAGAATAAAACAAAAGCACTCTAAATTTCTCTGCTACAACTTCCATCTAGTATGATTGACATCCACTAAGAAGACATCTATTGTCACAAATATTTTCCTTTTATGTAATACAAAGCTGCACATTTATTTCTTCTGTTTTATTGACCAAATAAAGTAAATTATCTTGTTCGTACAGCATCATTTTGGCAAAATGATTATATCCTGAACCTCTGCATAAAATTCTCTTTACACTACAACATGTCTCTCCATTTAAATGAAAAGTATAAGGTTTTTTACTCAAAATAGTCTGGCCACTTACAAGCACATCCTAGAAGTAAAAAAAAAAAAACAACTTAATAACAACATAATCCAACAATATGCCATGTGCTTCCAGCACTATTTGTGAAGAGCTATCTGTTCTGTTTAGACTTACTACCTCATATTGCATATTCAAAAGGCATAACTGGCTATAAAAGGGCTCATCCAATTTACCACTACTTCAAAGGCAATAAAGAAACCCCAGGCCAGCAGTATTTCTCCCTGTATCGGTGTTCAGAGAACAGATGAGGAAACATTTGCAACAGGAGCCTCTTATGGTGGAAGCGAAAGGGCAGAAAGCAAGAGAAGATAATAGATGAGAACTGTTTTATGATTTCAGCCTTCCAGATTTATACCAGTTATAGCACTGGCCTTTATGTATCTATCTGGATTATGGTATCAGTAGAGGATATTCTTGTACGTATGGGTTTTCTTTCCCCAACACTTACTAAGATTCCTGTTATTTATAAAACTCCTATTTGTCATGTACTTCCTGTGGCAGAAAAACCAAGTGTTATGTCTGGCATGAGAATACTTTTTTTTTTTTTTTTTTTTTTTTAACAAACATTTGTTGGCTCTTGAAAGGTTTCATAGCACTTTCATTTTTGCATAGGAAGAAGTAGTAAGAAGAATGCTATTTATGCTTTCTTTTCTAGTCAGATATTCTGCAGTCGCTCATAACTCTCTCTTCTTTCTCCTTTGGGAGCCTCAATATTTAAAATTAGGAACTTCTTGGGCACTCCTCCAATGGTATACTGAGCAATAACAAAAATTAAGCTTTTACAGAATGTATTACATTGCAGTTTAATATGCCCACCTGTAAATGGGTATTATATCACAGCTCTGAGCATGCTATCTTGCTATTGCAAGACACTTCACAGCATCATAGAGATGAAATGCACTACATCTAATTTTGTCGTTCTGCTTCAGATGAATGTTAGTCATTAGCAGACTACTGACAATTACCTACTACCTAAACATACAGCATCGATAAAAGCGTACCTTATGAGCTATATCAGTGTACCATATGAACTTGACATAAAAGTATCTGTTTTTCTGTTGTGGTTTGTGCCACAAGTCAATTACTGGTCACATTGCGTTGCTGCACAGAACTCTAATACAACAGCATCAGTAAGGTATAGCTTCTCAGCTCTCTCAGAGTGCTGCTCTGGTTTAAAGTCTAACAACAGTTCATCGGACTTTGTGAGAAATTAAGGAGTACTGAGATGATTCAACTATCTTCAGTCTTAGAATTTAAAAACAAACAAACAAATCCATTTAAATCACACTGGTACTTTCATTATGATTGTTCTCAAAGTTAGCTTTCTTTTATTTATTCCTGCTGTTCATATGATGTGGTGTTAAAACAACTAACTATTGTGCCTATTTCCTTGCTTTCTCTATGATTTACTGCCACATTTTTTAAATGCTGGTTAGACTAGATCCATTGCTTTGGGCAGTGGATGGCCTAAATTAAAGAATTTCGAATGATGGAATACTTCTGTACAATAAAATATTTTTTTTGCAATAAAGTACTCATTTCTCAACAGTTGCCACTCTGAGAACACGCCTTACAGCATAGACCAGAGTTAAAAAACATGCCTACCACAGTCCATTCTGGAAATCTAGTATATATCCTAATTCTCTTATAACAAACAAACCAAATGGAAAACCTCAAACAAGCAAACAACCCACCACCACTACGACACATCTCCTGTAAAAATATTTCCAGTGTCAGTAATATAACACCAGTTATATTACCAGTACACCAGTTTTGTGTTGAGAAAATACTGAAAGTAGTGGAGGTTTTTGAGCATCTCCCCATTATTTACTTGTACATAAAGCAAGCAAAACACAGGCTCTTCATTTTTCTACTCCAGATGCAAACACTGCATGCAAACAGACTGATCAAATGTACAAGGTAAGAATAGTACTGCCCCTTTAATTTACTTTCCCAACCTACAGAAGGCAAGTGGGCCAAAGTTCTTAAATAGTCTTGGACTTTTGATCTAGTAAAGGCCACTGACTTCCTGAATGTAGATTAGCAGTCTGTACATAGGCATGACTGATGTAATCAACATGAAATCAAATTTTGTATGCACAGATTCTGAAGAGTAGAAAAAAGAACTCAGTTGTTTTGTTTTGTTTTTTTTTTTAATCTGTATGCTAATTTTATTCAGTAGCAATAGCTGACTAGTTTATTCATAGATTTTTCTTTTCCTATAGAGAACACAGGTTAGTTTTGAAAAGTCAGCAAAGAAAACTTACACAGTATTTATTCATGAGGTTATAGTCATTATATGGGTGTACAATGGTAAACTTAGAAGAAACTCATCATTTATATACCTGTGAGCTTGAAAATCTTTGCCTTCTATGCAAATATTTATATCTGGACAGCAGCGTTTCTTGTACAGCCTCAATAAGTCATCTCCTAATGCAGATGCTGTTTCTAGCTTGTAATTACCTGCAGGTGGAGAAAAGTAGCCATTTTCACTTTGTCTGGTGTACACTGGAGTATTTTCTGGATACAATTTGAAATATTTGAAAGAAAAAAAAATTCAGATGTCAGATTCTAACACTGCATACTCAAAGTAGAATTCTCCTTGAAAGGTTTTTCAGAGCCAGCAGTAGGACGTGCATTTTATTTGGCATCATGAGGAGAGGTACTGAAAAATGACCAGTGCTTCTCGTTATGTATCTATGCAAGAAGAGTGCTACAGTGACTCTTTTGTAAGATCATGTAGCCAGTTCATTTCTTTTACAAAGCTCTGGTACCTCAGTACTCAAGAGAAGCAGACTTTCAACAAGTTCATGGTTACGTAGAGCTACTTGCTTTTGTCTGAACAGATGGGATGCTTGACCCTACCCCACTGACACAGCTGTAGCAGCAACCACCTCCAGCATGGATGCAGTTACAACTGCAGTAGGGAAAGCTCTGAGAGATTCCAAAGCCCTCATAAAATAAGACACGTGGAACTAGTAGGATCACAAAAAAAAAAGAAAAGGTAGGGGACTTGGGGGAGAGATGTTGTGTGCTCAGGACTGAAGTTTGCTGCACTACAGAGAAAAAGTAGGATACAGTGATGATGTACATGAGTAGTGCTTAGCACATTCTAACAGATTTCCACTACAGACTGGTAGGGAACTGTTCCTGCCAAATTTCTCCAGCAGTTCATTTTTTCAGGGTATGTGAAAATGAGGTATACCATAGCAAAGAATATCCATGCAGGTTGTGTTACAACAAAAACTTTAATCTTTTCCCTCATTTTTACATATGTATATAGAGACCTTTGGATAATTAATTAAAAGGAAAAAAAAAAAAACCAACCAAAACACAAACACAACAAAACCAAGGAGAATATAGTAGCAAACCTACCTGCCATGGCTTTGTTACTTTTTGCATCAATGCCTTCGGGAATTTCACCTTCACTGCTAGGTGAAGAAGCAGTTTCTTTCTGAACAGCTCTGCTTAGAGCATTCTGATCAGCTGCTGCACTTCTGTCATCTCCAAGACAACTTACATCTGTTGCAGTGTTCTGAAGAGCAGCACTGTTGTTTTCTTGTATTAATTTGGACTCCAGAACTTTTTTCATCATAGCCAGTTCCTCAGATTCTTGAAGATTCTTATCAGATGAATATACAAGCCTAAAAGATGATACTGAATTTCATTCCTGCAATTTTTTAATTTACCACCCAAAAAAAAATCTAGAATGTCATTTTTTGCTTAACAAAGTTCATGAACTGAAAGGAAAAAAAAAGGCTGGGCTGTAGAGCAATTAACAAGAAAACTTTTTAAAACTCTGAAAACAAATGCATTTCTTTAACACTCCCCTCCCATAAAAAGAACCAAGTAACGTTACTAATAAAATTGTACCGGTAAATTACAAGGAACAAAGGCATTTTTTCCTACTCTTTGTAACTCATATGCCATCATCATGTGCTGTCAAAAGTAGAAGTGCATTAGTAATGATGGATCAGAGGTTTATAAATCTTAGTATGACCAAGAAAAGACATTATCTTTATATCAAATTAAAAAAAAAACACAAAAAACCTACTAACATCAAGAACCCAAGAAGCATGTGAAACTTTACAGAGAAAAAAAAATAATTTCAAAAGGAATTCTTGAAAGCATGAAAGTTTTCAGTTAAAATTAGTCTAGTTTTCATTTTTCTCCTTTAGTAATTCCAGCTTCCCGCTTTCCCATCTGTTTTAGCAACTTATTTTTGGCTTAAGATCTGGAAAGGCTAACAAAGCCTGCAGTCTGTGACTGCAGAGCTCTCATGTTTAAAGAAAGATGCTGCTCTTCAGCAACTTAATAGAGCCTTAAATAGTCAATGTGAACAGATAAGATGTTTCATCTGCAGTTTCATACCAGATAGATGAAGTTAACAAAGTTTAACAGAAGAGCTACAGTTGCCTAGGATTCCAGGGATAGATACTTGCAGATCTGCAGTTAATCACTCATTCCATGGTGAAGAGGATTTATTGTTAACGCTGTGAAAGCAGTAATTGGAATATGCTGCTCCAACACTGTGCTGTTAAAGGGGCAGAGAAAAGATATAAAGAAATCACCTTCCTGTATTCAAAAGACTTGAGTCCTCATTCCTAACTCTCAACATGTTGAGTTAATGTTTCAGCACAAACTTATGTACTCACCATTCTGTTGCCACTGCATATTCAGCATATAAAGACAGTACAACTTGACTGAGGGAGAATTGGTTCTAACAGATGTACTGCTTTGTCATAAAAATAATTGTTTTAATATTCTTGCTCTCTTTCTGCCAGTAACTGAAAAACATACCCATAGACAATCTGCTAAACTAGGCAAAAGGGAATCCTTAGAGTATTTTCAGATAATTTACATAGGAAACCTCAGGAATATGGTTCTATTACCAGTAAGTTTAAGTCAATAAAGATGGCACCAGTTGCTGCAACTAGGAAACCTACAAATAAAACAAGTAAACAGACATGCTGTTAAGCCAGAACCAAACAACTGGTTTCTGGATCTGAGAAGTTACTCTATGCTCTACTTATTTTGTCCTTTGAGTTAGGAAGCATGTCTCCTTACTGCAAATCACAGCCACCGTCCACAAGACGGACAAAATCCCAAAGTGACATGGTCCAAACCACTAAGAGCCATGGGAAGAACACAATTAAGCAAAAAGGTGGAAAAACACTTGATTTAAAACAAACAATCTGTATTTAAAATTATGCAGAACTCATTTTTGTTATTTCCAAGAATACCTAAAGTCACCGTTAGCACCAAGCTTTACTGAAACCTATTAGGACAGCCACTCTTACTGTCCCAAAGCAGCTACAAACCTGCATGAAAGAACACTGGATTTAAATATTAACCAAATCTAAAACCATATTCTCAGCTACTTAGGAAGCAGCCTTTTAAATCCTGCCTACAACAGCTTCTGCTTTCTCTGAGAGAGTTCTTCACTGAAAGCCCTTCTGGAGAAAACAGCTACCAGCCTCCCTCTCCTTAAACTAAGTTATTTTTATATACACACATACACCTATATATATGTTTATATGTATGTAAATATATATACAGATACATAAATAGTTCTACAAACATGTATACACACACGCATACTTATATGTACACATACATAAGTGTCACTAGGTAAGCACTTTTGAGTTTTTAAATGCTTAGTGTTTAAGCAGAAAAAATCTGGTACATGTCATTGCAGATATGTTATACATATGTCCAGACTCTTAGAACATCTGTAAAGATTACAGAACAATGGTAGGAGAGAGGGTTGTTTTTCTATTTTGATTTTTTTTTTCCCTCCTAAGTTCAGTTAGCAATGCAGAACAGATATTAATGCTAAAATCCATCAGAAAACTCTCCATCATAAATACCACAGTAAGCATGAAGCACCGGAGCCTGACCTGTATGAAATGGGTTAAGTCTACTTTTTGGCAGCACATTATCAGTTAAATGTAATGTTAACTTTATAAAAGAAGGACAAGTGTAGATGCCAAACTGGGGTACTTGGATTGTGAGGGATAATACAATCAGCAGACACAGACACAAATTATGTTTCTCTTTTTATTTACAACTTGTACACAACTTTGCGTTGTTTTCAATAGGAACTTTGTATAACGTGCTAGAACTTCAAGCAGTAACTCGTTTCACCTCAAATATCCTCTGCAGATATCTAAAATACTGTATCAAACAGTGTTACTCAAACAGTAGACCTATGTATTATCACAATGAAATGCCAAAATAATCAAGATCTATTAACTTTTGCTGTGATCAAATAACAGTGAATGTAGAAAACACATCAACAATTTCCCACCCATAGTTTTTACAAAGACTTCAGTGAACATAACTGCAGTAACTAGTTTTGTGCACTGCACTTAACAGTGGGAGACTTGCTACGATATTTCAGGAGTACATCTATAGCAGCGAATCCTTGTTAACGCAGGTTAGGCATGTCGCATGTGCAACCTCAGTTTACCTCTTAAGATTCTTCCATTTCCCTTTAGATTTCCTAGAAGAATTATCTGCTTGATAGTGCTTAGCTTTTTGTAGCCGAGATGGTAATTTTAAATTAATTGATTTATCGTGACCAGTATTTCTGTAAATTTCTTCTCATTAGATGTGACATCAGCTGCCTCACTGCTGCCAGATTCAATTTTACAATTCCATGTGAAAGCTAATTATGTCAGCAGAACAATCTGTCCTTTTAAGCAATCGATGTCCAAGTGAAAGGTTTTTGCCTATTTCTTATGAATTACATTTTACTTCTGTGTAAAATACACAGGATACACAAATTCATGGCATAAAATCTACAAAACACATGTAGTGTCTGACCTATTTCCCTCCATTCCACATTCCCTGCTTAGCAAATTCTGAATATTCTCACTGACTAGCCAAGCTCATGTGCTGTAGTAACAAACTCAGATCACAGAACATGGTTACATAGACAAATGTCTTTAGAAGACGAGTCAGAGGAGCAAAATCCTTAATCCCTTAATTTGGGTGAAAAACACTTCGGTTTACAAGCATTTGTTCCCAGTTTTCTCAGCATTTACTGATCACCGAAGTTGAGACTTCATGGAACATTTTAACTTCCACAATTCAAAATTTAGCTGCTTGATCAAGTTAAAGGTAGTTGCATGAGCTTTTTCACATTCCCCATATTTAGAGGACAGTATTTGTTAATTTCATTTGTTTTGGGAAAGGTGATATTTTTCCCAGCTGTTTCTCAAAGCATGATATAAATACAATCAATTAATTTGTATTTTTAACATGTATCAGCACAGTTATCAGGATTTTCAGGATTTCATGTTATTTACTAAGCATCATTTTCTCATTTAGAAACTCTGATAGTTCAGTTTGCGTAAAAAAAATGTAGAATCACAGATGGCTTGGGTTGGAATGGACCTTAAAGGCTAAGCAGACTCAATTTATTTTGCTTTTGCCAAAGATCATCTGGTTCCAACCTCCTGCCGTGGGCAGGGACACTTCCCACTAGATCAGGTTGCCCAGCCTCCATTCCTGGAGGAGTTCGAGACCAGGCTGGATGGGGCCATCCAAGAAAGAATTTTCCTCACACCATAATGATACACAGCAACAAAATTCACTGAACATCTTTTATTACAAACAGTCTATCCTTACTGGAGGAACCAGTCAAATTCAGTATGGATTCTATGGAACTTCATATACTTTCTGACCCCTCATGGGAAAAAGGGTAAAAAGCAGCTTACCTCTCAGAGGGTAAGACATTAATGATCTAATTACCTGCAACAAATTGTTGTCCTTCCAGAATGCTGAGTTTCTCACTTCTCGAGGCAGACTGCAGAACCCTGTGTGAGCAGTAATCTCCTGACACTGACATGCTTGCAACTGTTGACCATTTCTGGTTGTGTTTTTAAGTGTTAATGTATAGGGTGATCAGCATCTGCAATATGGATGCTGCACTTCTTTGTGACCAGTAGTTTCTCCCTGGTGTCCTGAGACATTGAAGTATAAAGGGGAAAACAAAGCAGCGCTCACCTATTTCAAGCAAAAGTATGGTCACACTGACCAGCATAAAGCTCACCATGTCCTCCAACCTGCTCAAGAACAGAAGTTTGGCTGTGGGAGCTGCATAGGCTCCAGTCCGCAAGTAACATGTGGCCTATGTCCCTCTTGCACAAGAAGGGCAGAGGCCCAAAGGAAGTCTCACCGAGATGAAAGCCAAATATAGCTTATGAGAAAAAGAAATTCTAAATCCCCAAGGAAAGCTGAAAGACAAGCTAAATGCAAACAGGAAAAGGGAACGAAATTTTTTGTAGCTTTGATGAAGGCTTCAGTATTATATTAGCATTCTGCTTCTCTTCTACTGAGGTACAGTATTTTATAACCAGAAAATCTAGAACTTTTATTGAAAATAATTTTCTCTCAGGAGCTCAATTGCAGCACCAGATCTTTGGTAAGGTCTAGGATGCAACTCCTCACAGTGATTCATGTGCTCCAAGAACTAGGATACATTCCTCTCAACAAACTGTAACTCAAAGCACAGCAAAGTACAGTATCATGTTTCTGCATGAAAGTCTTTTGCACTGTCACTTAAATGAAAAGTAAAGTAATGAAAGTGCACTAACGTATGTAAGACAAAAATGAGACAAAAACTGCATTCTGTTTCTCACTGTTTCACTGATGCTTGGTTGAAACCTACAGAAAACTGACCAACACCAGTTATCAGCCTGCTCAGCTACACTGATTACATGGCTTTAGATATCAATCTCAATAGAAAAAAGATCATTTCATACTTAAAAGTTTTGTACCCTGAATAAATATTTCAGCCATATGCTGCCTTATTTACAAGTTTATGAAAAGAATGGGTGAAACGAACAACAAAAGGCCAGCCTATATTATTTTTAGGCATTTAACTCCAGAATAGCAACACCTTCTCGTTTCTCTCAACCCCTCAAGAGCCTAAAAGTGCATTTTCTCTTCTAGGCACGTTTGGAATTCTTTGGGAAGCGTGACAGTGCCTGCTGCTCTGCTCCCATGCACACCCATGTCGCCAGTCAGCACTACTGCTAAGGAGGTAGGTGCATCACTGTGACTTTGTCAGGGTAAAGCAAGTACTGCTCGGCTCTTGGGAAGGAGGGGAGGTACTATGGGTCAGGGAGGACTGTGAGGCCTGGTAGTGACCCCAGTCAGCAACCCTCGTGTACTAGCCTAAAGCTTGGAGTGGACAAGTGCGATGCCACGGAGCTGCTAGCAGCTGGTGATGGGAAGGCAGCTGGGCCCTTGCAGTAGTCCCTGAGCAGCTGCCAGACCACCCACACCTCACCCAGCACTCCAGGGAACTGTGCTGCTCAGTCCCAGCCATAACTGCTTTCGGAATGGCCATGCAGCTCCTGACCTGGTGCGTCACTCACGAAGTCCTCCTGGCTCCCCTAGTCAGCACTGACCATTTTTCAGCATACCACTGGCACATTCTTCCTTGTTGCTTTTGACAGTTAGCCTTACTATTAGCATAGTGATAGCCAAAAACAATTTTAAAGGATACATTCAGCACTTTCGCTGCTTCCTTTCTGTTTCGACTGCACAAACATCTACATTCCATACCAATACACCGAGCAGCACGTAGCTGTGTTCCGTCAGAGGAGGGACAGTGCAGTGGGAAATAGGTGCAGCAAACTCTTCTGCAAGGCGGGAAGGCTGTGGAAGAACCACTTAGAAAGGGAAAGCTCCGCAACAGGTGTTAGTGCCGGGAAGTGCCGGGCGAGGGCCCGGGAGCTCCTCCAGCCCACTGCCCGCCCGCCGCAGCCGCGCACTCACCGCAGGAAGCGCCGGAGCTCGGCGGGCCCCGGTCCGTGCAGTCGCAGTGCCTCGCGGGGCGGCCGCCCCCCGCCCAGGCCGCTGAACAGCCGCGGCGCCCGCGCCAGGAGCACCGCTCGGTGAGCCCGCAGCGACGCGTCGCCCACGCGGATCGTCACGTCGGTGTGCGTCCCCTCCGCCAGCAACCTGCGGGAGCGCAGCGGCACCGTTACCCGTACCGCCGCCACCGCCGGCCCGCCCCGGCCCGCCCGCACCTACCTGCTCAGGTCCTGCCGCAGCTGCTCGGCCAGCGCCTCTTTCAGCCGCTGCCGCTCCGCCGTCCCCGGGCTGGGGCCCTTTGGCGCAGCTCCGCTACCGCAGCGCGCCATGTGCCGGCAGTCACAGCGCCCCGCGCTACGACGCCGAAGCGCGGCCCGCTGGCCCTAAGGCAGAAAGAACAGCGCCCTTCCCGCCACTGGGACCAAGGCACCGTCGCACCATAGGATGCGGCTGCCCCTCGGCGCGGCTCGGCCGCGGCCGGCGCCCGCCTCCGCCAATGAGGGCTCGCGGTGCGGCGCCCGGCCCCGCCCTTCCCCGCGGCGCCTCGAGCGTCCTCCCGCGGGCGGGGCGGGGAAGGGGGCGGGGCTTTCCGGCCTGACCCCACCCTCCGCGGAGGGGCGTGGCGGGAGCGCAGTCCCGGCTCTGAGCCCCGGCCGCTCCCCGCCGCCTGGCGGAGCCTCCCGCAAAGCGCTGCGCGCAGGGGCGCAGCCAGCCGGGGGAGCGTCCTCAACTTCCGGCAAAGGTTTTTGTACCGAGATAAGACTGCTGTGTAAACAGTAAAAGCAGCTCTGCAGCTGCAGTCCTTCTGAGACAGGAATCTTCCCAATTTATAGTTCAGTTTAAAAGGCGTGTAACTACTGATGTATATAAATGTTGAAAACGTTGGTGGGAAAATTATACTTGAGTATCAGGTGCCATTCATAGGTGGGAAAGGTGGGATCAGTATCTGAAACACTAGGAAAAAAACTTGGCAGCAGTTCTTACAGATGAGAACAGTAGATGCTAACATAGGAAGGACGATGCCAGCAATGAGGCATTGTTTCCAATAAATCATCATGTGAGGAAGTGCACAGACACTTCAGCTGTTCAAACCTTGTTCTGAGCATCCGTAAGAAACCTCTCCGTGGGAAGCCAGGTAAAGGGAGTAATGTAAGTTGCATTTTATTAGACAGAGGTGGTTTTGATACATGTTAGATTTCCCACTCTTCTTGTTCAGACATTGAGTGTACAGGTTCCCATTTTTTAGTCAAGAAAAACACATTGCACAAAGCAGCTGCATTCAACAATACAACAAGATATGTATCATTATTCACTTGAAGACTAGAAATGTGCCCAAAATTTTTTCAGTCATCCAGTATGCTAAAATATACATAATAAAAAGAGTTAATAACTTTAATGGTAAAATACATTAAAAAAATTCAGGCAAATTGAGAATGAAAACTTGTGACTTCCTTCTGTATGGCACCACTCCATTATTTCATTATAAATTTATAAAGGCACCACACACAGAGACTGTAAAGCAAGGGAGAAAACAAAACCAAGCAATTTTCCATGATTTTCTTTCTATACAAATACATGTATCTTAAGGCAGGTGTTTTATGTGCAAAATACAAGTGTACAGGTAAAATCAATGTTGGTATTCTCATACTCACTTCATCTTTTAGCAGAAACATTGGTGTCCAAATGTACAGTACATCAAAAACACTTTTCTCTAACAGAGCTCAAAATAGAAGGCAGGCTGGAAGTATGGCCCTGATAACAATTACTTTTTAGATCTGTAGAGCTTTTTCGTAGACTCCTTAGAACATGTACAGTCATTCTCTCTTTCTTGTTGTGTCTTCCTTTAGAAAGGTCCATATCAACTTGTTCACTATGTCAGGTTGATCCTGCTGGAGCCAATGGCTGGCTTCAGACAAAATAGTTAATCTGAAATGATTTTTAACATAAATCCTTGTAATTTCTGCCATCTCAACTTCCATAAATGCATCTCTTTCTCCCCATAAGAGCAGGGTTGGCATGATGACTTCATGGTGCTGCAGAGGTAGGCAGCTTTAAAAAAAAAAATAGGCTTACTTTAGTCTTGTTTCATAATAATCAACAACTTACTTCATCATTCAATTTACTTAGTTTTTTAAATCAACACAGATAATCTTACTGCAAGCTTTTCAGGTTCCAGGGTATCTTTACAATATGAAGAGAACCCTCATGTGACTCAAAGTGCTCAAAGTGTTAAGGATAGAGAAGTTACGTGTCTGTAATCAGCAGCTGGTTGCAACAGAAGTCTTATTTTTGGAGCATGAATGATGCTTCTTCAGAATGCGTAGCCCAGGAGCTCCATAATCTCCATAAAAGTGAATGTGGAACAACATGCCCAGAATTCTGGTTGTCCATGGATTTCCCTGGGTTGATGAATGATATGGCAGATTTCTGAACCTGTTTTATCTACTGTATGTAGATTTCAATGAAATACAATGCTTTGAATCATGTTTGGAATATAGTGTTCAAAGCATCCAGCTACCTGACTACCCACACTGTGTTACCAAAAATGGTTGTCCAGCAAATGGCAGGCATGTCCCATACCATGTAGCATTGTGCTCAGCAATAAAAACTGGGGGAAGTTGGCCAGTGGTGTCTGCAGCTGATCTGGGTCTGCCTGGAATCACTCATCAGGCGGTTGCACTCTGCATCACTTGTTTTATGTATTCTTTTATCATTATTATCATTATTATTTTCCCTTCCTTTTCTGTCCTACTTAAACTGTCTTTATATCAGCCCACAAGTTTTACCTTTCTCCAGTTTTCTCCCTCACTGCACTGCAGGGCAGTGAGAAAACAGCTGAGTGGTGCTGAGCTGCCGCTGCGTTGAACCACAACACAGACTCAAAAGCATTTACACATTGTAAGACATTGATTTTTTTGAAGAAAAGCCCTTAGAAAGTAAAACGTTAATAAAATTATACCACCACATTGACACATTTAAACTTTCTATAAAAACTTTCCATTATTTTTTCTTAATACAGTTATTTTGAATGTAATTATTTTATAAATGTTTCCTTACATTGAGGGTAGATGTTAGAACACAGAAGACAAGCAGGCAGAAATGAAAGACTGTTTCAACATGAGTCATGTTAACACATCAGAATTCATTATTTATCTACTTCAGAGATGTTGAAAATTGTATCTGTATTTACTCCTGAACTGCTTTATCTTAGAACAGACTCTATCTTGGAAAAGACTAACTGCAACAATTCAGAACAGATTCCATACGCACAGATACAAATCATTATGATGCTAACGCTCAAATATGATAATGCTGTACCAATCATGTATAAAAAAAGTTTGTTCTCAACTAGCTTTTATGAAAAATCTATTGCTAGGTTCAAACTTAGGTGTTAAGTGAGAAACTATACTCTAAAAATGGAAAGGGAAGATGCTATGCATTAGTTTAATGTTAGACAAAAGTGGAGACTTTGGAGACATTCCTTCTTTCTACTTACACATAATTCCGAGAATTAGTAACAAAAGATCAGGTTAAATAATAATTTCATTTTAATTGATGAACTAGTAAAATTCTTAAAATGACTTTTTGTAGCAGTGGATTTAGATTTCATTTTTCCAACAAAGTGGCCCAACCCCCAGAACCATAGATTTTTTGTAGTAGCATCTTTAACAACTGATAATCTGGTGATCCAATTCAGTGCGTTTGGATTCATCTCTAAGAGCCTTTCAAGATTCTTTGCCTTGCTTATCTGTTTATGCAAGTAAGTGTTCACAGTGGGTGGGAAGTAGCTCATCTTAATCATCTCTTTGGAAATAACCTTCCAGAAAAATTAAGAATCAGAGCTCCAGGGTGACAGCAATGAGATGGAAGCCTCTGACATGTAGGAGACCAGTGCCAGCCCGTTGGGAATCATGGTGAATTCAAGACAGTAGAACCTAAGTGCTGCTTATATGAGAGGAAGTGAAAATTTCAATACAGTTATAATAGCTAGTGATTCACCTGTTTGTGTGATGGTGTAACCATCAGAATTGGTGGCAAGAATAGAAAGAGCTGAAGACCCATATTTTTTTCCCCAGTGGAAATCCTGCTGTGTTGTGGCTGATACCACCTAGAATGTTATTCTGTGAATTCATCGCAGGAGTATTTTCATTAGAAAGGTAAATCAAACAGCGCACAAGAACATTCACACTGAGGAATTAATACCTCTCTTCTCCTTGAGCCTGAAAAAGGCCTGAACTGGTAGTTTAAACATACAAGTCTTCTACTCATGCAAATCCCACAGCAATGCAGCTGCTACAGTCTCTTCACTGCTGCTGCTGCAGCTGGTTAATGTGCACTCACTGATGCAAGGTGCTGTGGCAAACCTAATGAGCAAGGCTCAGGGCCCTCCTGCCTCTCCAGCTGCTCATTAGCCATACCCTGCAGGCTGCGGCCGTGCCATTCTAGCACCAGGGAATCCTGTGACACTCCACAGCTCCAGTTGCCCTTGGATGTCCCAGCTGTTGCTTATCAGCCGCACCGTGTGGCTGCAAACAGGGACACTCCTACAAGCACAGCCGCTTCTCATATTCACCGCTGGTGTCTGTGCTTGGTGTTAGTTTATTTAGAAGATAACATGCCGTCTCTCTATGCTGTTTTGTCTTAGGCTGTGCAGACAGCACCTAGCTTGAACACCTGTTTTCCTCCCAGCATTGCACTGCTGACTGCTTTCCTGACAGTGACAATGAGGAAGGCACAAGAGGAGCAGGAAGGGTGGCACTATGTTTAGAACAGGGAAAGCTGAAAGTTAATCTGCTTCAAAACTCTGCTGAGTTCAGGGAAGGAGGTTTAACGCTACTGGAAACAGGAATTAAGGGAATAAAGAGTTCAGACCTCCTGATATATCCGTGCAGCATGGGGCTACCAGTCCTGAGTAGAGAATGACAAGTTTTAAACACATTCTGGCCGTTAGGTTTTTGGTAGATAAGCAGAGGGTGTCAGCCTCTAAGGCCAATTCTGGCTGCTTGAGAAAACTCTGGTTGTTACTTTGTTTTGCGTGGATACCTGTTCCTATGTATTTTGCTGCCTGACACCAAATGTTTTTGTTAACTGTTGGGACTTTAGGAATACATATATATATTTTTTCCCTACTACCTTAGCAGCAGAAGATACAATAACGCTATTGGACTCTAGAGGGCTCTAGAATATTTTACCTTGTTTCAGAATGTTAGACTGACCTGAAAATATTTCTGTAATGGTTGATAGGTCCAGTTAATGCTCCAGGTTGTGAAAAGACATAGAGGTAAGCTTCAATGTCTTCTGCTGTTAATCTGCATCCTTTCCTACCGATTCCAGTGGTCTGGCTGGTAAACAAACTTTTCAGAACCTACCAAAAGAAGAGTAAAAAGCCATCACATATCTACAGACGCTATTTCTTTCCTTCAACAAGACACATCTTTCTAAAACCTATTTATACATAGCTCACT